TTCATTTACAAATTCACCTGTTTTCAAATGACACTTTAGCCTTTATCATCAATATACTAGGGACCACTGTAGTATACACTATACACTATGTATACTCAATGTTATCAGGGAGACTTTCTTTCCTCTGACGCGAAAAGTTCAATTATTATTTTTTTCACACGGGACACAGGCCTATGATTCCCCTCTGGCAGTAAACTCTGCTGGGTAGTGCACACTAATTCTCCATTTTTGACTCAGTATATAATGTTTTCCGCCCAAGATTGGTTCCAGGCGCTAGAGGGATGTATCGTATATGATTGAGGCCACAAATTAAAGTTCTAACACGTAAGAGCGACCGTGAAAACACGAGAAAACCCGGAGCACAACGAGGCACGCTGACACTTTGTGATAATTCTTGTGCAGAAAACCTATGCTATGCTGATGACATAATGATCCATACAACAGGGCATAAGAAGATGAGTACCATTCTTAATGCAGTTCAAGCAATTAGTAATCGACTAGGCCTTATATCTTCCTCTAAAACAAAGATCCCCTCAAGGAAGGTTCCTTGATGTTGGTGAGGGGCTCTTGATTTAGGGAATTGGATCTGTGCTCCAGTTCCCCGAATTAAGCCTGAATGCCTTCCACATCCCCCCCCCCCAGGCACTGTATAATCCTCTGGGTTTAGCGCTTCCCCCTTGATTATAATATTAATAATAATCTAAAACAAAGATACTAGCAAGCAAACGACATTCCCCACCCATATATTTGCAGGGTGAAAACATTAGCTACGTTAAACTTACAGATACCTGGGTGTAGATGTACCCATTAATAAATCCATTATTTTTTTTTCAACAAATCTGCCGTCTCCCACCTAGGCAGGGTGACCCAAAAAGAAAGAAAATCCCCAAAACGAAAATACTTTCATTATCATTCAACACTTTCACCTGACTCATACATAATCACTTTTTGCAGAGGTGCCCAGATACAGCAACTAAATAACAAATGCAAAGATAGGCTAAACGCTCTTAAAGCTGTTGCTGGCTACAGCCCCAACTGTGGTGCTAATGCGAGAATCGTGAGAATGATGTACATAGCCTATGTTAGGTCCTGGCCTTGTGAGATGTTGAAATTTGGTCGTAATCATGGGTATTTTGATTCTGCACTTGCACATAAAATTTTCTCTAACAGACCTGTGTTCAGTTAGTTTAGTGATGACATTTATACCTGTTTGTCCTATGTAAGATTATTTTCAGCCTTGATATCACTTTTTACACTTATTTTCTTAGAAAAATGCAAAATGCTGTACGTATTATATATTTCGTGCATTTTTGGGGAGTTAAGAACATTAAAATGTAATGCCTATTCACATTATTTTTAATACACTGGCTGTCTCCCACCAAATTTTGATGACTCGAAAAAAAAGAAGCACATTCACTATCATTTATTCAATAGTTGTCTTGTCACAAGTGTGCAGACACATTGCAAATGACCTTCGAACTAGAAAACATCCCCACTTCTTCAGAGTGCAGGCACTGTACTTCCCACCTCCCCTCCCTCCCCTCACCTCCCCTCACCTCACATCCCCTCACCTCCCCTCCCCTCCCTCCCTCCCCTCACCTCCCCTCCCTCCCCTCACCCCCCTCACATCCCCTCACCTCACATCCCCTCACCTCCCTCCCCTCACCTCACCCCTCACCTCCCTCCCCTCCCCTCCCCTCACCTCCCCTCACCTCACATCCCCTCACCTCCCCCCCCCTCACCTCCCCCTCACCTCCCCTCACCTCCCCTCCCCTCACCTCCCCTCACATCCCCTCACCTCTCCTCCCCCTCCCTCCCCTCCCCTCACCTCCCCTCCCCTCACCTCACCCTCCCCTCACCTCCCCTCCCCTCACCTCCCCTCACCTCACCTCCCCTCACACCCCTCACCTCCTCCTCACCTCCCTCCCTCACCTCCCCTCACCTCCCCTCCCTCCCCTCACCTCCCCTCCCCTCCCCTCACCTCCCCCCCCTCACCTCCCTCCCCTCCCCTCCCCTCACCTCCCCTCACCTCCCCTCCCCTCCCCTCCCCTCCCTCCCCTCACCTCCCCTCTCCCCCCTCACCTCCCCTCCCCTCACCTCCCCTCACCCCCTACCTCCCTCCCCTCCCCTCCCCTCACCTCCCCTCCCTCACCTCCCCTCACCTCCCCTCCCCTCCCCTCCCTCCCTCCCCTCACCCCCCCCTCACCTCACTCCCCTCACCTCCCCTCCCTCACCCCCCTCACCTCCCCTCCCCTCCCCTCACCTCCCCTCACCTCCCCTCACCTCCCCTCCCCTCACCTCCCCTCACCTCCCCCCCCACTCCCCTCCCCTCACCTCCCCTCCCCCCCTCCCCTCCCCACCTCCCCTCACCTCCCCTCACCTCCCCTCCCCTCCCCTCACCATCCTCTCCCCTCACCTCCCCTCACCTCACCTCCCCCCCCCCTCACCTCCCCTCCCCTCACCTCCCCTCACCCCCCTCCCCTCCCCTCACCTCCCCTCCCTCCCCTCACCTCCCCTCACCTCCCTCACCTCCCCTCACCTCCCCCCCCTCACCTCCCTCACCTCCCCTCACCTCCCCTCCCCTCCCCTCACCTCACCTCCCCTCACCTCCCCTCACCTCCCCTCCCCTCACCTCCCGTCACCTCCCCTCCCCTCACCTCCCCTCCCCTCACCTCCCCTCACCTCCCCTCCCCTCACCTCCCCTCCCCTCACCTCCCCTCACCTCCCCTCCCTCACCTCACCTTCCCCTCAACCTGCCCCTCCCCTACACCTTCCCCTAACCTCCCCACCTGCCACTCCCCCTCCCTCCCCTCACTCCCCCTCCCCTCACCTCCCTGTCACCTCCACCTGACCTCACCCCCCCTCACCTCACCTCCCCTCACCTCCCCTCAAACCTCCCCTCCCCTCACACTCCCTTCCCCTCCCTCACCTCCCCTCCCTCCCCTCACCTCCCTCAAAACTCCCCTCCCCTCCCTCACCTCACCTCGCCCTCAAACTCCCTCCCTCAAACCCCCCCTCCCCTCCCCTCCCTCACCCCCTCACCTCCCTCACCTCCCCTCCCCTTCCCCTCCCCCCCCTCACCTCCCTCACCCCCCTCCCCTCCCCCACCTCCCCCACCCCCCCTACCTCCCCTCCCCTCACCTCACCTTCCCTCACCTCACCTCCCTCCCCTCACCTCCCCTCCCCTCACCTCCCCTCACCTCCCTCCCCCGCCCCTACCTCCCCTCCCTCACCTTCCCCTCAACCTCCCCCACCTCCCCTCACTCCCCTCCCCTCACCTCCCCCACCTCCCCTCCCCTCACCTCCCCTCACCTCCCCCCACCTCCCCTCAACTCCCCTCCCCTCACACTCCCCTACACCTCCCTCCCCTCACCTCACCTCCCCTCACACTCACCTCACCCCCCTCCCTCAACCTCCCCTCCCCTCGCCCTCATCCGAACTCACCTCCCTCCCATCACCTCTCCCACCAAGGCACCCACCCCCCCATCCATCTTTGCAGCTTGAAACGTAATGATAATGTTAACTGGGGCGCTTTTTATATTAAGGATTATACACTTATGGTCATAAAAGCACTGAACACGTGTAGCAATCAAAGAAATATGTAAAGAAGAATTTTGTATGAGCTCAAATACTCGAGTCGGGTAAATTGCTTCCTGACCCAATTTACATATAAGTGGAAACCACTTGCTAAACTACCTGTGCCCTAAAGTGGAAACCACTTGCTAAACTACCTGTGCCCTAAAGTGGAAACCCTTGCTTAAACTACCTGTGCCCTAAATGGGAACCACTTGCTAAACAACCTGTGCCCTAAAGTGGAAACCACTTGCTAAACTACCTGTGCCCTAAAGTGGAACCACTTGCTAAACATACCTGTGCCCTAAAGTGGAAACCACTTGCTAAACTACCTGTGCCCTAAAGTGGAAACCACTTGCTAACTACCTGTGCCCTAAAGTGGAAACCACTTGCTAAACTAACCTGTGCCCTAAAGTGGAAACCACTTGCTAAACTACCTGTGCCCTAAAGTGGAAACCACTTGCTAAACTACCTGTGCCCTAAAGTGGAAACCACTTGCAAAAATACCTGTGCCCTAAAGTGGAAACCACTTGCTAAACTACCTGTGCCCTAAAGTGAAACCACTTGCTAAACGACCTGTGCCCTAAAGTGGAAACCACATGCTAAACTACCTGTGCCCTAAAGTGGAAACCACTTGCTAAACTACCTGTGCCCTAAAGTGGAAACCACTTGCTAAACTACCTGTGCCCTAAAGTGGAAACCACTTGCTAAACTACCTGTGCCCTAAAGTGGAAACCACTTGCTAAACTACCTGTGCCCTAAAGTGGAAACCACTTGCTAAACTACCTGTGGCCCTAAAGTGGAAACCACTTGCTAAACTACCTGTGCCCTAAAGTGGAAACCACTTGCTAAACTACCTGTGCCCTAAAGTGGAAACCACTTGCTAAACTACCTGTGCCCTAAAGTGGAAACCACTTGCTAAACTACCTGTGCCCTAAAGTGGAAACCACATGCTAAACTACCTGTGCCCTAAAGCTACTGTTTTTTCTGCGCTTGACTTAGTTGTTGTTGTACATAACTTAGTATCTGCTCCTTATTACTTGTACTTTGTTTACTTCCTGCACCTGACTTCTTCCCTATACCTTTTTTTTTGTGGGTTTTCTCTCTCTCTCTCTCTCGCTCTCTCTCTCCTCTCTCTCTCTCTCTCTCTCCTCTCTCTCTCTCTCTCTCTCTCTCTCTCTCTCTCTCTCTCTCTCTCTCTCTCTCTCTCTCTCTCGCTCCTCTCTCTCTCTCTCTCTCTCTCTCTCTCTCTCTCTCCTCTCTCTTCTCTCTCTCTCTCTCTCTCTCCTCTCTCGCTCTCTCCTCTCTCGTCTCTCTCGCTCTCTCTCCTTCTCTCTCTCGCTCTCATCATACAGCAGTTGATTGCTTCTCCTCCCCACCTCTTCAGCACTTTATTTTGGTTTATCTAATTATTATTGTCATTTAAGGCTAATATTGAAGGATCAAATCCTGGAAGTAGTGGACGTGGTGCTGCAGCTCCCTCAGCAGTTGGTGGTCCGCTAGCACCGCCTCTCACACATCCACCAGACCACCGCGACCTCACACTAGCCAGGGACATAAGGTTAGTACATTATAATAATAATTTTTTAAAGGGATGGACGGGTATGGCAGTGAAAGGCTTCGGTCAGATGACCAAAAGCTGCATGGTGGACTAAGATCTGCGTCAGGAAACACCTCTCCTGTTTCCTGATGAATCTTACCTTACCTAATAAGGCTGGTACTGATTTTTGTCGACCGAGTACAAAAAAAAATATTACTGGGATCAAAATGAGCCTTTAAGAGGTATAGTTATGTAATTTATTAATAAGAATGATTCCTCTCCTCACTCTTCTCCCCTCTTTTCCTCGCTCCCTCTCTCGTTATCACAAATACAGACATTCTCTCTAATTAAAATGACTATACTAAAAAGATTACAGAATGTGGGGATTCTCGCTCTTGGACAGGTTCGGTCTGTACACTATATTAACTGTGATGCGGAAACTGCCTGAACAACTGAAGGATGCTTGTAGTGAGATCAGCCGCACATCTAATGAACCTGAGGTTACTCGAAGTCTCATCAAAGACACCTCCAGCCAGCTCCAGCACCTCGTCTCCGGCATCCAGGACAAACTCTCCCAGCTTCTCAACAATAAAGATAACGAACAGGAACTGCAGCAGTCTCTCTTCATGGTAGGTAACCCTATTCAAGAGTTAGGTGGAGATTAAGGGGTGGGTTATGCCATTACTGGGGTTTAGGCGAAGGTAATGACATATAAGAAGGTTTGACGAGGTTGTTAAGGATAGACAACCCATCAGGATAATTACTTAGTCACAAGAAAGTCACCTGATTGGCCCTTTAGAGTAACTGAAGAATTTTCGTTGATGCATTAACCCTCACCTCTACCCCTCACTCACTCCTACCTGGAGTATACCTGGAGAGGGTTTCGGGGGTCAGGGCCCCGCTGCCCTGTCTGAGACCAGGCTTCGTGGTGGTTCAGGGTCGGATCAACCAGGCTGTTACTGCTGGCCGCACGCAAACTGGCGTACGAACCACAGCCCGGTTGATCAGGTACTGCCTTTAGGTGCTTGTCCAGCGCCTTCTTGAAGACAGCCAGGAGTCTATTAGTAATCCCCTTATGTATGCTGGAAGGCAGTTGAATAGTCTTGGGCCCTTGACACTTGTCTCCTATCGTGCTAGTGACACCCCTGCTTTTCATTGGGGGGATGTTGCATCGTCTTCCGAGTCTTTTGCTTTCATAGGGAGTGATTTTCGTGTGCAAGTGTGGCACTAATCCTTCTAGGATTTTCCAAGTGTATATAATCATGTATCTCTCCAGCCCGCATCAATAACTGGGCCTCTACCCTTCAAACAGAACTGTTTGTCCATACTGCTTACCCTCAAATGCGTTCATGTCACATGTCTATAGTGTATCCAACAAGATAATCAGACTCTTGGATGTCACTACTGCCCGGCTCCGGCTGGGTTACAAGTATCTTTGACAGGTTAAATCACCACCACCAGATGTAGACCAAACGAAATGTAAACTTTTGCCAGATGGACTATTGTCACACCCTGCGTCATTATGTACTGGAGTGTGACCAAATTAATGAATTCAGAGACAACTCACTCAGAAATGTTCAAGATATGTCAAAGTATTTTATCCACAGCTCGTACGTTGGTTTGCGTGCAGCCAGCAGCAAAGCTGGTTGTCAGGCGCTGACCCAGGAGGCCTGTCACAGACGGGCCAACGGCTTGACCCTCAAACTTCTGTAAACAGTGATTATTCAGTCCATTCTGGAAAAATACTGACTTTGGCATGTAAATAACATTGACCACGTCGGCTGGTATCACAAATATCGTTTGCAGGGTTAAGATCACCATCCACCAGATTCACCTAACGAAATGTAAACTTCATTGCCCAGATGTGTGTTGTCGACCCTGTGTCATGTATGTACGTGAGTGTATGCCTATTATGGATGCAGGGTCGATCAAGCTCCTGCAAGCTTCGTCATGGTCAGTACTTGTTCATCCCGAACGTGAGTATTACAGACCTCTGTGTAAAATATACCTGCCTTCCTACATGTAAAAGCATTACCACTTGACTACAAATTGTAGTGCAGTGAAGAAATACTTCCTAACACCCACCATCTGTTGAAGTACTAGGTGTGTCACTGCTGCTTGTGTGTGTGTGTGTGTGTGTGTGTGTGTGTGTGTGTGTGTGTGTGTGTGTGTGTGTGTGTGTGTGTGTGTGTGTGTGTGTGTGTGTGTGTGTGTGTGCATGTGTGTGTGTGTGTGTGTATGTCATCATGGGCTTGGCATCCCTAGTTTTGAAGGTTTTCATTATCCATCCTGTCATTTTTCTAGCAGATGCGATTGATACAATGTTATGGTCTTTGAAGGTGAGATTTTCTGACATGATCACTCCCAGGTCTTTTACATTAGTTTTTCACTCTATCGTGTGGTTGGAATTTGTTTTATACTCCGATATAGTTTTAATTTCCTCACGTTTTCCATATCGGAGTAATTGAAATTTCTCGTCTTTGAACTTCATATTGTTTTCTGCGGCCCATTTAAAGATTTGGTTGATGTCCGCCTGGAGTCTTGCGGTGCCTTCAGTGGAGGACACTCATGCAAATTTGGGTGTAATTTGCAAAGGAAGACACTGAGCTGTGACTTACATCCTTGTCTATGTCAGATATGAGGATGAAAAACAGGATGGGAGCGAGTACTGTGCCCTGTGGAACAGAGCTTTTCACCGTAGCCGCCTCAGAGATTACTCTGTTTACTACTACTCTTTGAGTTCTATTTGTTAAAAAATTATAGATCCATCTACCAACTTTTCCTGTTATTCCTTTATCACGCATTTTGTGCGATATTGCACCACGGTCACTCTTGTCGAAGGCTTTTGCAAAGTCTGTATATACTACATCTGCATTTTGTTTGTGTTCAAGGCATCCAGGACTTGTCATAGTGGTCCAGTAGTTGGGACAGACAGGAGCGACCTGCTCTAAACCCATGTTGCCCTGGGTTGTGTAACTGATGAGTATCTAGATGGGTGGTGATCTTGCTTCTTAGAACTCTTTCAAACATTTTTATGATATGGGACGTTAGCGCTATTGGTCTGTAGTTCTTTGCTTTTGTTTACTGCCACCTTTGTGGAGTGGGGCTATGTCTGTTATTTTTAACAGCTGTGGGACAACCCCTGTGTCTATGCTCCCTCTCCATAGGATGTTAAAAGTACATGATAGGGGCTTCTTGCAGTTCTTGATGAACAAGAAGTTCCAGGAGTCTGGGCCTGGGGCAGAGTGCATGGTCATGTCATTTATCGCTTTTTTGAAGTCATTTGGTGTCAAGGTTTACCTGGAGAGGATAATATCAAATAGGTTCGAGTCTACCAAATTCTGTCTTTCTCATAAAAAATTCATTTAGGTCAACGACTCTCAGTCTGGTGAGCGGCTTGCTAAAACTGAGTCATATTGGGACTTGAGTAGCTCACTAATTTCCTTGCTGTCATCTGTGTAGGACCCATCTTGTTTAAGTAGGGCCCAATACTGGACGTTGTTCTCGACTTTGATTTGGCGTAAGAAAATAAATATTTTGGGTTTCTTTCAATTTAATTTATGGCTTTTACTTCTTCCCGCGTATCTTGGCTCCTGTAAGATTCCTTTAGCTTTAGTTTGATGATTGCAGAGCTGTATGACTTACGGGTTTAGCGCCTAAGTTGATTATATATTTCTTTTTATTAATACATCAGCCATTTCCCACCGAGGCAGGGTGAACCGAGAAGAAACACTGTCACCTTCACTGTCTTGCCAGAGGCGTGCCTACACTCCAGTTCATCATTATTATTATTATTATTCCACAGAGGGAGGAAGATATGTCCCAGCTGGTGAGTCGAGTGCAGGAGGCGGTAAACCAGCGCTACTCGGCCTCCATGGAAACTCACATTACTACCACAAAGAAGGACTTCCAACGACACATGAAGAAGATGAAGGATAGTCTTCAGGAAATTACCAGGTAACATATCCCACCTTCCATAGGAATCAACTTCATGTTTGTGTGTCAGGGCTTTGAGAGGAAAGGAAAAGAGAAGATGTTGAGGTATTGTTATAAAACTAAATTGGTAGTGTGCGATATATCCACGGTGAAATTAATAGTGTCTTGGTGGACTTATACTTACAAAAGCAAAGCCATATTATCTTTGCTGTGTATACCTGGAGTATTCCTGGAGAAGGTTTCGGGGGTCAACGCCCCCGCGACTCGGTCTGAGATCAGGCCTTGTGGTGGATCAGGGTCTGATCAACTAGGCTGTTACTGCTGGCCGCACGCAAACTGACGTACGAACCACAGCCCGGCTGGTCAGGTACTGACTTTAGGTGCCTGTCCAGCGCCTTCTTGAAGACAGCCAGGGGTCTATTGGTAATCCTCCTTATGTATGCTGGGAGGCAGTTGAACAGTCTCGGGCCCCTGACACTTATTGTGTTGTCTCTCAGTGTATTTGTGGCGCCCCTGCTTTTCATTGGGGGAATGTTGCATCTCCTGCTGAATCTAATGTCTTTCAAATAAAGATGCATCACACAGTACTGTGTATGTGTATATGAGCAAACATTTCACCTTTACGTGCACTGAAGGAGATGGTAAAATAGTATTACATGCCAAGTGATTGAGACAATTTCAGTTTGGTTGTGTGAGTGACGCCAGCGAGTACGTAATTCGCCCTTGCTGGCTACCTAGAATAGAAAGTAAAACAACTGTTACATGGCGGTTTGCAGGGTGGAGCCAGCAGTAAAAAACCTGGAGGAGGGCATCAGCAAAGTAGCTGAGACCATAACGACAAGTTTAGTAGATCTGAAGACTTCATTCACCTGCCTGGAGCCCAGAGATCCCCCTGGCCTGGAGAACATTGCCACATCAACGCAGCGTGGGTTTGACCAGGTACTTTCACTCTGTACATTATTTGTAGTTTTCAGATAAAAGTGTATTAACCCAGTAGAGTCTAAAATAAAAACCCACCCAGAGAACGAAAATACTTTGGATTATCCAAGGCAATTTACACATGTGAAAAAAATCAAAAAGATTTCAAGAGATATTTATGAAGGTGGCTGGTGGTCAACGCTCTCGCTTCACACGGCGAGGGCCTGGGTTCGATTCCCAGCCAGAGCAGAAACATTGGGCGTGTTTCTTTCCACCTGTTGTCTATGTTCCCCATCAGTTAAATGGGTACCTGGGTGTTAGTCGACTGGTGTGGGTCGCATCCTGGGACACTGACCTAATTTGCCCGACATGCGGAGCATAACAAGGGGCTTTCTGTGTAGTAGTATGTCATTGTTGTCAGCTAGGCCTGTATACCATGTACATGTACTTGTAGTAAATAAAGAAGAACAACAACCAGACCTTAGAGAGTGAGCACTAACCTAAGAAGTGTTTGAAATGATATTGTTAACAAGGAGGATAATATACACACCTACATGAAACCAACATTAGAATATGCAGTACTATCTTGGAAGGAAAGGTTTTAAAATTTAGTATCGGGATCAACACAATAAGTCACTCTGACTTTTTTGGGTTATCCCAGGTTCTCTACACATATGCTGCTATGTATGATAATCTATGTAACTGTATTTGTGTATACCTGAATAAACTTACTTACGCAGTGGCGACGACAAGGAGGGGCTTGGGGTGGGCTTTTGGTCCCCCTGAAAATACCCTCGGTCCCCAATTAAAATCGCAATAATAATAATAATAATATTGCTTGTTGCTTAGCCCGCCCTTCCAACAAGATAGCTTCCCTCAGCCCCCCCCCCAGTATCAAAATTATGACGTTGCCCCTGATTAAAACGTAATTCAGTTCTACATGCTGTAAAATATTTTTACACATGTACACATACAACACATAAAAACTGAAACAAGCTCCCTAAATAAAAACCATTCATACATTCTAACATCCAATGAAACAATAAAAATAATCACTTAGGTTTTTATATTCCACCCTCAACTCCTGCTCAGAATTAATAAAAAAATATCTACAATACCTGTGTGATCCATTACATTTATTTTTTTTCTAATCACTATAATAAATCAAAAAATTTCGTAATAATATGCTGATGACAGGAGGTCTTGTATGTTAACCACAGATACAGTCTTCCATCCAAGATCTCTCCCACAAGGTGATCACCTTGACAAAAGACTTCACAGCACAAATTACCCAGGTGTGTTTCTCTATCATTTTAGTTTTTAGAATAAATTATGTTTTTTTTTTTTTAGTATTGTCACTTATGAAACATAAAAGCAGTGCATATTTGCCTCTTATTCTATATTTTATGGTTACTGCCTTAAATTACCAGCAGAAGTTGCCTCATTGTTTGCCCATCATATGAGTTCTTATGTGTTTGTCCACAGGTGCAGTTGTCCATGCAAGACCTGTCTCAGAACATGACCAGTTTGCCCAAAGACTACACAGCACAGATCACCCAGGTGCGCCTCTCTTTCAACTAAATTTATTTAGATTCTAAATTATTGTTTTCATAATTTGTTTTGAAATGTATATTTTCCACCCAGTTATATGAATTTACAATTTATCGTTTTTCTATTATTTTCTTATTTGTTTAAATTAATGGTTACGAATATGTTACTCTTCTGAGTCGAAGGTAATATGTAGCACCAAGCCTTGTTGTACAAGTGCCCTGTTTTGTGTATCCTTGGCAGGGAGGCTGTAGCTCTCGCTTCACACGGCGAGGGTCCGGGTTCGATTTCCGGCGAAGGTAGAAACATTGGGCATGTTTCCTTACACCGGTTGTCTATGCTCACCCATCAGTAAAATGGGTACCTGGGTGTTAGTCGACTGGTGTGGGTCGCATACTGGGACAAAACTGACCTAATTTGCCTGAAATGCTCTGCATAATGAGTGACTTACTATGTAGTAGTATGTCATTGATGTCAGCTAGGACTGTATATCTTGTACATGTACTTGTAGTAAATAAAGATATTATTATTATTATTGTTATACCTGTCTGACAGCAGTTCGTTTAATATGTTTATTATGCACCTCATACCCATCCTGTGGACGGTAGTCAAAACATTACATTATTATTATTATAAAGGGGGAAGCGCTAAACCCGTAGGATTATACAGCGCCTGGGGGGAGAAGTAGAAGGCATTCAGGCTTAATTCGGGGAACTGGAGCACGGATCCAATTCCCTAAATCAGGAGCCCCTCACCAACATCAAGGAACCTTCCCTGAGGGGTCAAAAGATTACAGTCTGACAGCAATATGGCGGTATCTTGGTACAGAGGGCATCTTTCACAACTTCATTGCTTAACAAGTAACTACAAATTAAATAACAAAAAAGGCACAATTTGTGTACCACAAATTATGAGCGAGGAGAGTTGGATCTGGGAGAGACCTGCTTAGTATGTGCCAGTAGGCTTTCTGCAGTGATCCTTATTTCTTACCTTCTTGTTTGCATTGGTGGACCCCGCCTCCTGCAACATCGCTGATACATTCCATGCCTCGCCTTCGGCAGTATACACGGCATAAAAATGCTTCACCTTCACATTGTTTCAGACTATGAGGTTGAGGGACTGATCACCTGAAGACAATTTCTCCAAGGTTGACGGACTCGTAAGACAGTATAATAACCTATGTGACATGTCAAGATATCTTATTAATGAAAATAAGATACCAGATATACTAAGCAAATTTCCTAAATTTGCTTGTAACAGATAAGTGAACTATAGATATGTAGATATAAATCCATATGTATTCCTGTTAACCCTTTGGGGCCTAGTTCCTAGGCCTTTTGTGTATCCATATGCTCTCGCGCTACCGTCCACAGGATGGATATGGGGTGCACAATAAACTAGCCACTTCGGTGGCAAAATCTAAATCTAAAATAACACTATCCTTCCGTCCACTATTGCTTGGTTAGCAACGCTGTCGCCTCACACACTGACTGTCCGTGGTTCGATCCCCGATATGGGTTAATGTAGATTCGCCGGTACTGCCGGCCCGGGTCTTCTCCAGATCGTGACCCGGCCTTGGCTCCCATTCCTGGGAGTGGGTGGAAATGTTCAGCGTGTTTCCTTACACTTGCTGTCTCTGTTCAGCTAGCAGTAAGTAGGTACCTGGGTGTTAGTCGACTGATGTGGGTGGCATCTTGGGGGACAAGATTGAAGAACCACAGTGCAAATAATTATGACAAGACAGTCCTCGATGACGCACTGACTTTCTTGGGTTATCCTGGGTGGATAACTTTCTGGGTTAAAAGCCGAACAAATCTTAGCTTGTCACAAATATATTTGTAAATAAATATGTTATTATACTGTACTTATATTAAAAAAAAAACGAGCAGTAAACCTTCATAGATGATACAATATTAGGTAGTAAATTATGGTAACATGGTGGTTGTCTCACAGGTGATGCGAGAGGTGATACAGAAGAGTGCAGCTGAATCTCTGGTGAGGAACAACAGCAGCACCAGCAGCAGCATCACCAGCCTTGTCAGTCCCACTCATAGAGTCTTCTCCAACCATCGACCAATCTTTCCTCTCGCCGAGGTCTCTTGTTACTTTTTTCCCCTTGTATTATTTATTCATTGTTTCGTGGTTGGCAACTATCAGAAACTAGAACTTTTTTTTTTTATGTTCTGTTTGTTGTACAGTGTATTATTATTATTTTTAGTAGTAGTAATACAGTTACATTATTATATTATTATTAATACTGTTGCTTTATTAATATTATTACATTACATATAATTATTACATTATTATTGTTACATTATTATTATTAAGGGTAAGAGCTCTGGAATACGAAGCAGTTAAGTTTGATCCAAGGATCAAGAGGTCTTCATGAACATAAAGGCACTCCCCATCCTCACACGAAGGGAATATTGCATTTGTTTCATTATTTCACGGGGAGCGGTAAACCTGTCTCCGCCATGTTGTGCCTTCACATATATACAAAGCAATCAGATTTAAGTCAAAATCAGATTTTTATTTCTTTTATGTAATACACAGGTAATGTAGTTTACATGTAATAAATTATTGTTAGGCCCAAAAGGAAGCTACTAGTTTGTAATGAATTTCGGGCAATTCTTTGGATCAAGATTCAAGAGCTCTTCACTCTCGTTAAGGCGCTTCCATTTAGAGCAGTGGTTCCCAAACTTTTTCAGCTTGTTACCTAATTTAACATGCCACATAAAGCATGTTACCCTTTCACAAAATGTTGTTATTATTGATATATATGGCTAAACGTGAACGTATACAGCCTCGCATACTCTGCTAATCCTAACAAAACCATTGAAAACGTAAGAACCACACATACATTGTATATAAAATTAATAATAGCTACAAATTCACAGTAACAGTGGGTAAATACTAACATAATACTGCACAGGGCAGTACACATACATACCAGCTTATGTCTACCTCGGCTGATGCTCACAGATAAACTGACAGTGTGAAATAGAGGCAGCCTCAGAAGTGAGTGACGTTGTACTGAACAGGTCGATCTGGGCTACTGAGTGACTTGTCCTGAAGCATACTTGTCAAAATACTTTTGGGTTTCCACACACTTAGCTATATATTTCTTCTTTTCTAATACTGTATATTAGTTTTTGATGTTTATTGTTATTTGGTTTAACTTTATTACTTACTTATAATAGGTTTACTTTACAACTTTATATACTAAGACAAAGTTAACAATAATCCTCATACCGGGTACCGCATTGTTTTCTTGATTTTCAGAATTCATAACTTTTTTTCTGTCACCCCTCCATTACCCCCCAAAAATGGTTAAATTACCCCCAGGGGGTAATTTACCCCCAGTTTGGGAACCACTGATTTAGAGGTTGAAAAGGATATTGACACCAAAACGACGAATGACCCCCATGGGTTAAACACTTCCAGTGCATATAATAATGCAAAATTACCAGCATTTCTGATATTATTATACATTTATTCAGAAAAAAATATGCCAAACTCTGTATAAATACAACAAATAACCCGCATATAGAGGAGCTTACGACGACAGTCTGGAGTTTTGAGACTCTCTGACCGCGGGAACAAACCCCACCCGTGGTATGGTTCGACGAAGTTTCGGTTTGGTGGTAAGCTCCTCTCTCCTATATGAGGGTTATTTGTTATATTCTTCCAGTCACGGTATTGTGCCTTTTTTGTTATCTCTGTATAAATCTTTGTATTTTGTTTAGTTGAATCGCATCCATGTCGCATCTGTCTATTGAAACAAAAATTGTTTGTTGCAGAATGGCTACCGGTGTCAAGTGTCACCAGTGGCACATGTACCTCCGATAACTCAAGCTTCACCTCAAGTCTCCATGGCACCGCCTGTCTCCCACCCTAATACACATTCTACTCCTCAGTCAAGTCTAGGTGTTTCACCATGCCCAGATTTCGGAGTAACACCCGTGTCTAGACCAAGTGTTTTACAACACCCACACTCGAGACAAACTCCACAGCCTAGACCAGACGCTCCATCACGCCCAAACTCTGGACCAACACATGTACGATGCATTATTCCACCACAGCCAAGACCAGGCATGCCACCACCACAGTCAAGACCAGGCATGCCACCACCACATTCAAGACCAGGCATTCTACCACCACAGACAAAACAAGGCATTCTACCACCACAGACAAAACCAGGCATTCTACCACCACAGCCAAATCCATTCATTCCACCTCCACTACACCCAGACTATATAGCAACACCACACTCCAGACCAGGTATTTTATTACACCCAAACTGTAGAGAAACACCGCAGGCCAGACCTCATATTGCACACAGGCTAGATCCACAAGCAACGCCCCAGCCCAGATCAGTAACTAGCAGCACTGACTTCAGGTTGGCAGCCCAAGAAAGTACTGCCACTAAGGATCTCGGCAAAGCAGCTCTACCCAACGAGAACACTAAAGGAACACCTAAGTGCTCTGCGAAGGTCTGTTTAGTTATCAGTTACATTTGTCTTTTATATGCTGCATGTGTGTATTTGTTTATATATAATTATGGGGAATCAAATTCAAAATGGGAATTGACACAGTTACTTTTTGCTGATGATACTGTGCTTATGGGAGATTCTAAAGAAAAATTGCAAAGGTTAGTGGATGAGTTTGGGAATGTGTGTAAAGGTAGAAAGTTGAAAGTGAACATAGAAAAGAGTAAGGTGATGAGGGTGTCAAATGATTTAGATAAAGAAAAATTGGATATCAAATTGGGGAGGAGGAGTATGGAAGAAGTGAATGTTTTCAGATACTTGGGAGTTGACGTGTCGGCGGATGGTTTTATGAAGGATGAGGTTAATCATAGAATTGATGAGGGAAAAAAGGTGAGTGGTGCGTTGAGGTATATGTGGAGTCAAAAAACGTTATCTATGGAGGCAAAGAAGGGAATGTATGAAAGTATAGTAGTACCAACACTTATATGGGTGTGAAGCTTGGGTGGTAAATGCAGCAGCGAGGAGAACGGTTGGAGGCAGTGGAGATGTCCTGTTTAAGGGCAATGTGTGGTGTAAATATTATGCAGAAAATTCGGAGTGTGGAAATTAGGAGAAGGTGTGGAGTTAATAAAAGTATTAGTCAGAGGGCAGAAGAGGGGTTGTTGAGGTGGTTTGGTCATTTAGAGAGAATGGATCAAAGTAGAATGACATGGAAAGCATATAAATCTATAGGGGAAGGAAGGCGGGTAGGGGTCGTCCTCGAAAGGGTTGGAGAGAGGGGGTAAAGGAGGTTTTGTGGGGAGGGGCTTGGACTTCCAGCAAGCGTGCGTGAGCGTGTTAGATAGGAGTGAATGGAGACGAATGGTACTTTGGACCTGACGATCTGTTGGAGTGTGAGCAGGGTATATTTAGTGAAGGGATTCAGGGAAACCGGTTATTTTCATATAGTCGGACTTGAGTCCTGGAAATGGGAAGTACAATGCCTGCACTTTAAAGGAGGGGTTTGGAATATTGGCAGTTTGGGGGGATATGTTGTGTATCTTTATATGTGTATGCTTCTAGACTGTTGTATTCTGAGCACCTCTGCAAAAACAGTGATAATGTGCGAGTGTGGTGAAAGTGTTGAATGATGATGAAAGTATTTTCTTTTGGGGGATTTTCTTTCTTTTTTTGGGTCACCCTGCCTCGGTGGGAGACGGCCGACTTGTTGAAAAAAAAAAAATGTTTTTTTTTTTAACACCGGTCGTCTCCCACCGAGGCAGGGTGACCCGAAAAAGAAACTTCACCATCATTAACACTATCACTATTTTGCTAGAGGTGTATAAATACGGCAGTTCAGATGATCCTCCAAACAATAGATATTCCAAGCCTCTCCTTTAGAGTGTAGGCACTGTACTTCCCACGTCCAGGGCTCAAGTCCGGCTAACCGGTTTCCCAAAATCCTTTCTCAGAATGTTACACTGCTTATACTCCAACATCTCGTCAGGTTCCAAAAACCACTTGGCTCCACTCATTGTTATCTAGCATGCATTGCACATGCACACACACACACACACACACACACACACACACACACACACACACACACACACACACACACACACACACACACACACACACACACACACACACATCATTCAGGACCCTGTACACCGTGTACGTTAGGCCCATATTGGAGTATGCGGCACCAGTTTGGAACCCACACCTAGGCAAGCACGTGAAGAAACTAGAGAAAGTGCAAAGGTTTGCAACAAGACTAGTCCCAGAGCTAAGAGGTAAGTCCTATGAGGAGAGGTTAAGGGAAATCAACCTGACGACACTGGAGGACAGGAGAGATAGGGGGGACATGATAACGACATACAAAATACTGAGAGGAATTGACAAGGTGGACAAGGACAGGATGTTCCAGAGATTGGGGACACAGTTGGAAGCTGAAGACACAGATGAATCACAGGGATGTTAGGAAGTATTTCTTCAGCCACAGAGTAGTCAGTAAGTGGAATAGTTTGGGAAGCGATGTAGTGGAGGCAGGATCCATACATAGCTTTAAGCAGAGGTATGATAAAGCTCACGACTCAGGGAGAGTGACCTAGTAGCGATCAGTGAAGAGGCGGGGCCAGGAGCTCGGACTCGACCCCCGCAACCTCAACTAGGTGAGTACACACACACACACACAGGGTGGGTGGGTGTGGGTCACCTGAAGGTATGGTATACCAATGTTGATGGAATAACGAATAAGTGGGAGGAGTGGCACGAAAGAGTCAAAGAGGCATCACTGGGCATCATAGCTTTCACAGAAACCAGGCTCACAGGAATGATAATAGATGCCATCTTTCCAACGGGATATCAGATCCTGAGGAAAGTCAGAGGGAACAGAGGGGGGTGGAGGAGTGGCATTGTTCATCAAAAACCAATGGGATTTTGATGGGCTGGAGAGAGGAGACAGAAGAGAAGCAAGAGATTACATAATAGGAACACTTCAATCTGGAGGTCCAAAGGTCATAATTGCAGTGAGGCCAAGGCAAGAGCATGATGAGAGTAATAGAGCAATGGTGGACACACTGGCAGAAGTGGCCAGAAGGGCTCATGCAAGCAGGGCAAAGCTGCTGATTATGGGCGACTTCAATCACCAGGAAATCGACTGGGAGAACCTGGAGCCACATGGGGGCCCAGAAATGTGGAGGGATAAGATGATGGAGGTGGTACTGGACAACCTCATGTATCAACACGTAAGGGACACTACCAGAGAGAGAGGAGACGATGAACCAGCAACACTGGACCTAGTATTCACTTTGAGTAGTGCAGATATTGAGGACATCACATATGAAAGACCCCTTGGGGCCAGTGATCACGTGGTTCTGAGCTTCGAATACATAGTAGAGTTACAAGTGAAGAGGGAAGCAGGAAGTTTAGTTTAATATCTTTATTATGCACCCCATACCCAAGGGCAGGATGAATGAAGCCAAACTACAAGAAAGGGGACTATGCAGGCATGAAGAATTTCCTTCATGCTGGCATGAAGGGGTCCAGTGGAACAGAGAACTGGCAGGGAAGTCAGTAAACGAGATGATGAATATGTGACAACAATATGCAAGGAAGCTGAGGAGAGGTTTATACCAAAGGGTAACAGACCCAAATGTGTAGGGAGGCCAAAAGCAAGTGTGCTAGAGAATGGAAGAAGTATAGAAGGCAAAGGACCCAGGTGAATAAGGAGAGCAGTCGTAGAGCCAGAAATGAACAGGCACAGGTAAGAAGGGAGGCCCAACGGCAATACAAAAATGACATGGCGAAAGCCAAATCTGACCAGTAGCTGTTGTACAGCCACATCAGGAGGAAAACAATGGTGAAGGACCAGGTAATCAGGCTGAGGAAGGAAGGAGGGAAGATCACAAGAAACGACCACAAAGTATGTGAGGAACTCAACATGAGATTCAAAGAAGTGTTCACAGTGGAGACAGAAGGGACTCCAGAAAGACAGGGAGGCGGGGTTCACTATCAAGTGTTGGACACAGTACATACAGCCGAGGAAGACGTGAAGAGGCTGCTAAGCGAGCCAGATACCTCAAAGGTGATGGGGCTGGATAACATCTCTCCATGGGTCCTGAGAGAGGGAGCAGAGGTGCTATGTGTACCACTAACAAGAATCTTCAACACATCTATCGAAACAGGGTGACTACCTGAGGTATGGAAAACAGCAAATTTAGTCCCAATTTTTAAAAAAGGAGACAGACATGAAGCATTAAACTACAGACCAGTGTCACTAATATGTATAGTATGCGAAGTCATGGAAAAGATTATCAGAAGAGAGGTGGAGCACCTTGAAAGGAACGAGCTTATCAACGACAGCCAGCACAGGTTCAGGGATGGGAAATCCTGTGTCACAAACCTACTGGAGTTTTATGATAGGGTGACAGCAGTAAGACAAGAGAGCGAGGGGTGGGTAGACTGCATTTTCTTGGACTGTAAGAAGGCGTTTGACACAGTTCCACACAAGAGATTAGTGCAAAAGATGGAGGACCAGGCAGGGATAACAGGGAAGGCCTTACAGTGGATCAGGGAATACCTGTGAGGAAGACAACAGCGAGTCATGGTGTGTGGCGAGGTGTCAGAGTGGGCACCTGTAATGAGCAGGTTTCCACAGGGGTCAGTCATATAACCAGTGCTGTTTCTGGTATTTGTGAGTGACACGATGAAAGGAATAAACTCCGAAGTGTTCCTGTTCGCAGATGATGTGAAGTTGGTGAGAAGAATTCAATTGGATGAGGACCAGGCAGAATTACAAAGGGATCTGGATGGGCTGCAGGCATGGTCTAGCAACTGGCTCCTGGAGTTCAACCCCCACCAAATGCAAAGTCATGAAGACTGGGGAAGGGCAAAGAAGACTACAGACAGAGTACATTCTAGGGGACCAGAGACTACAAATCTCACTCAAGGAAAAGGATCTTGGGGTGAGTATAACACCAGGCACATCTCAGGAGGTGCACATCAACCAAATAACTGCTGCAGCATACGGGCGCCTAGCAAACCTATGAACAGCATTCTGACATCTTAATAAGGAATCGTTTAGGGCCCTGTACACTGTGTACGTTAGGCCCATGTTGGAGTGTGCAGCACCAGTTTGGAACTCACACCTAGCCAAGCATGTAAGGAAGCTAGAGAAAGTGCAAAGGTTTGCAACAAGACTAGTCCCGGAGCTAAGGGGTATGTCCTACGAGGAGAGGTTAAGGGAAATTGACCTGATGACACTGGAAGACAGGAGAGATAGGGGGGATATGATAACGACATACAAAATACTGAGAGGAATCGGCAAGGTGGACAGAGATGGGACACAGCAACAAGGGGTCACATTTGGAAGTTGAAGACTCAGATGAATCACAGGGTTGTTAGGAAGTATTTTTTCAGTCACAGAGTTGTTAGGAAGTGGAATAGTCTGGGAAGTGATGTAGTGGAGGCAGGATCCATACATAGCTTTAAGAAGAGGTATGATAAAGCTCCTGGAGCAGGAAGAATGACTTAGTAGCGACCAGTGAAGAGGCGGGGCCAGTTGCTGTGACTCGACCCCTGCATCCATAACTAGGTGAGTCCACACACAAATGCACACATGCACCCACAGGGTCAGGGGCTGTGAATCGACCCTTGCAACCACAACTAGGTAAGCACACACACATAGAGGCCTGGGCCTCTTCGTGACCAGCGAAGAGCTGTAACTCGACCCCTGTAACCACAGGTAGGTAAGTACATATAGATGAGGATGCACACACATGCACATTGGCAGTCTCCCACCAAGGTAGGATGACCCAAAAAAGAAACACTTTTACCATCATTCACGCTATCACTGTCTTCCCAGAGGCACGCAGATACGACCAAGGAAGGGTGGCCCTTTCCCCTAAAAAGAAAACATTATCAACATTCACTTAATTGCTATCTTTCCAGAAGTTTGCTAACATCATAGTCATATTACCCCTCTGACTTCTACATCTCCACCCCTCCTTCAGAGTGCAGGCACTACCTTCCCCACCTCCAGGAGTCAAGTCCTGTTAACTGGTTTCCCTGAATCCCTTCGTAAAAGTTTCTCTACTCGCACTCCGCAGCACATCCATCAAGAGCACTTGTCTCCATGCACTCCCATCTAACACAGACACACAAGGTAGCATAGTAGGTTTTGGTAAGTTAGTATGCTTATTTTAAGAAAAAGAGAAATTATACAAGATACAATAATAGGCACAGTAGACTGTATTAGTAGATAAGAGGTTGATGGATAGGCTTTTGGATGCACATGTTTATAAGGATGTGATATGTACATCAGATCATTATTTAGCGGTAGCTACAGATAGAGTAAGAAAGAAATGGACTACAAGGAGAATGACATCAGTAGGTAAGGGAAAAGTTTAAGTGAATGAACTAAAGGAGACAGGGGAAGATGTAAGCTACTATTACTGGGAGAAAGTTAGGCTAGAGAGAGCATAGGTAATGATGTCGAGGAGGTAGGCAATGCTAGAGTGCACAGCAGTAGTTTGTGAGTTTAAGAGGGTAGGTGTGGGTGGGAAGAGGAATGACTGGTAGAATGATGAGGCAAAAACAGTGGCTAAGGAGAAAAAATTACCATATAAGAGGTTTGGAAATGTAGGAATGATACAGTAAGGCGAGATTATATTTGGAGAAAGATTAATAAGCTGAGAAAGCTTAAGGGGTAAATGTACTTTGTAATCAAAAGGGAAAGAGGGGAGTTGTTAGATGGGAAGGTGAAGGTGCTGGAAAGATAGATTATTATTATAATCAGAACCAAGCACTAAACCCACAAGGGTTGTACAATGCTGTCTAGATAGAGACAATTTTGAAGAGCTGCTAAAAGTTGATTATGAAAGGGAAGTGGTAATTTCATGTATTGGGCAGGTTGTCTTTCATGAAGAGGACCGTAGTGATGCAGTGGAAGAGGAATCTCAGAAAGTGGCTTGCCGCTCTTCCTGGCTGCTAGAAGGTGAAACACAACGCTTCACCCCACAGAAAGGACACTTCCTTGTACAGTTCAGTAGTGATTCCTCAGACCAGGTAAAGTGTGTTATGGCTCTTGTACATAAAGCTGCAAACTACAGTCACTGTATCTATTTTTAAGTGCACAGCTGAATTTTATGTAAATTTATGTAATGAAATATAAATGCCAAATATCAGTAATACAACCCTCTCAAGATTCCAGTCAGCATTCATATTAATGCACTGCTTATCATCACTATGTTTCTTTCTCCACCTATAATTAATATACTGTAACTAAAAGTGACAATAAAAAATTAACAAATTCCCCCATTCTCTTCTCGGAACATTTGCCTATACGTAGTTAACTCGTAAACGGTCCAAACGTATATATACCTTCACTACCGTACTGCCCCAACTTTTTTGAGAAAAAAAAATTGTTGTTTTTTAATAGGAAAAAAGAGCATATGGTACCCAGGCATCCCCAATTATTTTAATATGGTGCACAGTGAGTGCTCACACCCATTCTCACATGTCTAGGCGACTCAGGCTTATTGTGGCAATGTTAAATGTAGGACACATAAAACGTATATATATGTTTTGGGGCACTAGCGGTAAAAACGTATATATATGTTTGGACCATTTACGGGTTAATTGTGCTGCCCGAACGGCTAGTTTGTTGTACACCCCATGTTAATCCTCATCATACATAGCTTGCTGGGCACCATTCCTCAGCTTTTTTTTTTTTCAATGAAGATTTCCAAGATTTGAGGGATGCCAAAAAGTGAGGCTTCTGGCTCTGCTGGTGTGGCAGCGATGCCACTCCTTGGAATTTTCCCATGATCTTGGGTTTTGGGAATCATCATGGTTTCATGGCGAAAATGCTTGTGGAGAAACGTTTCCTTTAACCCTTTGAGGGTCGACAGGCCCTCTCCGAAACTCGTTCTCAGGGTCGGCCAAATTTCAAAAAAAAAAAAAATTATTTTTTCTTATGAAAAAATAGAGTTTTTTTTCTGAACATTATAGGATAAAACAAAAAAAATTTACCATCAATACTTACGGAGATATGGATGCATGAATTTTGCAGAAAATGAGCCGCGTATGGCAACAGCGGCGACTGCCGCTCACCCGGTAAACTTTAGTTTACTTGTATTTGAAGGTTGTTGTTTTTTCACTATTTTATTTTTTTCACATAACTTATGTGGCCTGTAGACCAAAGTAAGGTGCAATGTACATATATACACTCGTTGTATACAACACAATAAGCACACAAACATAATTATCAATATATTGTTTACAAAACTTGTTTACAAAAACAAACAATACAAAACATGTTTATTATTATTGTTCTATAAATATATACCAATATACAGTCACTGAACGTATTCCTATTAGTTCTGCAGCTTGTGGAACTCTGAAACATGGTGTCATAACACAATGGTGTTTTAACTTTCTCCCTCATTCTATCTCTTTCAATCTGTCTCTCTCTTTCTATCTGTCTATCTATCTCTGTCTCACAGGTACACATAAATACAAGTATATATAGTATAAATTACCTAGGATAACCCAAGAAATCCAGACAAAGTGCTATACTATCTGCTTGAAGATGTGAGTAAAAATGATGACACAGTCTTGTGGCTCTCTGAGACAGAGAGCTAGACGGATAGACAGATAGACAGGGAGCTTGACAGACAGACAAATAGACAGACAGAAATATTAGTGTACCAGTACCAGTGTACTAGTGTTCCACCCTCCTCCTCCTCTTCTTCCTCTTCCTCCTCTTCCCCCTACTCTTCCTCATACTCTTCCTCTTCCTCCTCTTCCTCTTCCTCCTAACTCTTCCTCTTCCTCCTCCTCCTCTTCCTCCTCCTCTTCTTCCTCTTCCTCCTACTCTTCCTCCTCCTCCTCTTCTTCCTCTTCCTCCTCTTCCCCCTAATCTTCCTCATACTATTCCTCTTCCTCCTCCTCTTCCTCTTATTCCTCTTCCTCCTACTCTTCCTCTTCCTTCTCCTCCTCTTCCTCCTCCTCCTCTTCCTCCTCCTCCTCTTCCTCCTCCCTCTCTTCTTCCTCTTCCCCCTACTCCCTTCTCCTCCTTGTCCATAGTGTAAATTACAAGGAGTCCGCAGCTGTCAAAGTGACATATTGGCTCATTACTCTTTCCCCCTCGGCCTGTCAAAACAATGGGGTCGGATGCTGCTTCCCCTCCTCCATTCTATCTAATTATCTTTCTCCCTCATTCTATCTGTCTGTCTATCTCTGTCTCACAGGTACACATAAATACAAGAATACGTGGTATAAATTACCTAGGATAACCCAAGAAACCCAGACAAAGTGCTATACTCTGCTTGAAGATGTGAGTAAAAGTGATGACGCAGTCTTGTGGCTCTCTGAGACAGAGAGCTAGATGGATAGACAGGGAGCTTGACAGACAGGCAAATAGACAGACAGAAATGTTAGTATACCAGCAAAAACAAAGGGAGGGCAATGTTCATCTCATCTTTTGGCATCAGCTCTACCCTCATTTACCCTCATCAAACGTCAGCACTTATCAGATGTTATCTCCCCTTATCTTGTTACTGTCATGGGTGAACATTTATTATTACATATTATTATTATTACCTATTATTATTATTATGTATAATTATTATTATTATTATTATTATTATTATTATTATTATTATGTATTATTATTATTATGTATTATTATGTATTATTGTTATCATTACGTATTCTTCTTCTTCCTCCTCCTCCTCCTCCTCCTCCTCTTCCTCCTCCTCCTCTCTTCCTCCTCCTCCTCCTCCTCCTCTTCTTCTTCCTCCTCCTCCTCCTCCTCCTCCTCCTCCTCTGCCTCCTCCTCCTCTTGCCTCCTCCTCCTCTTGCCTCCTCCTCCTCTTGCCTCCTCCTCCTCTGCCTCCTCCTCCTCCTCCTCCTCCATTCTTGGAACAAGTTTGAAGATCTTGTAGTTCATAATCACTATCATTATCATCACCAATGCTCACATCTGAGTCTGGGATTTGGGAAATAGGAGTTTTCCTCTTTGATTCTGGTACAACTGAACGACGGCCCAGCACCAGAGTGGAAGGGGTGTGGGTTGTCTGGGTTTTCCTCACTATTACCATATTATGGTCATTAGTTTCGGTCAAAACCTCACCAGAAACCTTGAAACTCATCTCACTGTCACTTCCATCTGTATTAGAACTGTCACTGGGAACAAAAGTGTCCCAATTCGCCGAGGAGTGAGGAACTTCTTACCACAGAGCACGGGGAAATTGTGTACTATGATGGCATTCCCACAATGCACCACTGGTCCCAGATTTTTTTCCTACTGCGCACACCCACCACACAGACCCATTCTCTCACATCTAGGCTTATCAGCCTTTTCCTGTGAGATTTGAGGCCGCTAGAATTTATGCGTACTAGTACGACAAAAACCCCTACGCGTAAGACGTACTAGTACGACGAAAACCCTCAAAGGGTTAATAGATGTCCTGAACTGTACACGAGTGTTCTTTTCCACAGTTTGTCAGTATCACCATGCCATATACATCCATTTGTACACTGCAGTCATATATCTCCTTCCTCAATTCTTTGCCTTTCCAGAGAGTGCAAATTCATAGGATAGACTAAACTGATCACTGAGGCCAGTGGTCCAGAAAGTTCAAGTATCTGTTTACAGATGTAGAATGTATACCAAGGCTTACTTCAGTAGTTTTTTTTAGTATCGGAGCTCAAGGTGTTAAAGGAGACAGAAAAACCTGTTGTTTTTAATTCAGATGCTGTATAAATGGATACTCACTATTGGAGGTTGCAGGGGTGAAGTCTCTCCTGGCCTCTTCTCCGCTGGCCACTACTGGGTTAACTTTCTGTCCTGGGTACACGAGTCCTGTCATACCAATTCTTAAAGTTATGTATGGATCCTGCTGTCTAGATCATTCCACTTCCTGACCACTCTAAGGCTAAAGAAGTATTTCCTAATGTCCCTGTGACTTGTCTGCATTTTTAGCTTCCAGCTGTGCCTTCATGTACCTAACACCTGCTTCTTAGACAGACTTGCACAGCCCAGTATTTTATACTACAACATAAACATGTCACCCACCCCTGGTCCTTCTTTCCTCTTAGTGTCATCAGGTTTATCTCCTCTAGTTTCTCGTAGCTCATACCTCTCAGCTCTGGGACTAGTCTTGTAGTAAATCTCTAAACCTTCCAGACTTTTTACATACTTTATCAGATGTGGGTTCCATGCTAGCATTCCAGATTCGGTTGACCTCTTGAATGCCTCTTTCAGTGATACTGCAATGTATCGTTGTTCAAGATATCCTTTTCTTAATTTTGAATGGTACATAATGGTGGCAATCAGAGACAGCTAATTTTGAAGACCAGTGAAAATGTCCAAGATTTGTGAGAGTGCTTCTGACAGAGGACTTTGTTTACAGGGATTTGTGCTGGATTGTGATAGCAGCAGCAGCAGCTGTGGCAGTTCGCTTAAAGTGGCCACCAGAGCTACTCCTACACTATCTATCAAAGACACCAACACTAGCACAGGTATGGTGAGCTGTGCTTCACTCAGTATTTTTATTATATTTGGTGGAAAGCGCTGAGTCCATAGGGAATCATACATTGTCTGAGAGAATATGTGGTATTCATGTTTAGTACAAGGAAAAGAACTATACAAACTCTTTTAGATTTCATGACATTATTACTAAACTTAAAAAGAGAAACTTTTGTTTTTCTTTATGGTCACCCTGCATCGGTGAGATACAGCTGGTTTGTTGGAAAAAAAAACAATTTTTTTTTGGTACTGCATACATTTATATGTCAATAGATCACTGAAAATTATATTATAGTGAACGCTGTAACAGCATTATATCCCACTATAAATATTTAACCTTGGTGTTGATGTATCTTCTTATAACTAGGGTACCTTTTGAATTTTATGTGACTATGGCTTGATCTCTTGATCTCTTATTATTATTATTATTATTCTATATGCACAAAAATATATTCTCTGTCTGTATGGGTCATTCATTGCTGACCATTATTATTATAATCAAAACTAAGCGATAAACCACCAGGGTCATACAGCTCATTGCTGACCACCTAATTAAATTTTGTTTGACTATTATCTCTGTTGTATTTACTTTTGAATCCATATATTGCATTGTACAGTACTATGTATGTTATCAGTTTCTGCTACTGTATATTTTAATCTACTTTTTCTACTTTTATATTGTAAAAATACATTATTCACAAAGAATGTCAAACATAAAGGAATAATCACAGAGCAGGTGGGGCTTGAACCCATGGCAGGGGAGTCTTAAAACTTTGTGACTTGTTTGCAGTCATGTTATTGCAATTATCTTCCCTTGGTGATTTGTTTGCAGTCATTTTATTGCAATTATCTTCCCTTGGTGATTTGTTTGCAGTCATTTTATTGCTATTATCTTCCCTCAGGCTGAATCCTCCCAAGACAAACAATATCCTTATCTACCCTGTCTGTGACAGTATTTTTTGTTGGCTGTGATCTATATTCATCCAGTGACACTCGGCATGTAGGATTTTGTCATTAGTTTTCTTGCAGTTCCTGTACAAGTCTCAAGCATTCCTCAGAATTTTGAGTTGAATTTTAATGTTGTTAGGCTAGGCTTTCATGTTGGTGATGCATAATTGAAAACTAGTACATATTACTTATGTAGTTATTGATGATATATAGGAATCTCTTCAAAGTACAGTTAAATATATGCATATATTATGCAATAATTGCAAACTCATAAATCTGAAAGTAACCTTTTATCTGACAGATGATTGGGTGGAGGGTATTCGAGGTCATGGGAAAAGACTGAAAACCAAGAAAAAAGTGAATGAATCTGAGGGCCATGCTGCTTCCTCTTCCTCTTTTATGCAAAAAGCAGCTGTAGCCACTTTGGAGACAGTTACCCCAAATGTAAGGAAGACATCCCCTATGGTTCTGGGAGGCAACATTACAAGGAGCTATAAATTGAGAGGCAGTGAAGTAGGAACAGCAGCAGCACCAACAGGTACAATCTCTGGATGTAGGAATGATGTTGGGATAAGTAAGGTGTTAAAGGTGGAAAATCTGTCTACCATGCCCCACTCAGTAGAAATTGATAGAGAACCATATTCTCACACATCTGTTTTCCCTAATGATCCAGTGTCTGGGAAAAAGAGAAAAGTAGATGATTCTCTCCTTCAAGAGAATTACAGTGTTAGAGTCCAGCAAACAGAGCCTGGCAGAAAGTATAAGGTGAATTTTGAGTGTGCCCCTAAGCAGACGCCAAGAAACACTAGTGCCATAGTAGCAAGTCGTGCTCGTCGCTACTTAACACCTCAGAATGAGCGTGGAATCAAATTAAGGTTCTTTAAAACTGCTAAAAAAAAAAAAAACTTGTAAAAAACAATACTTTCATTGTAATAGAGTACTAGCAAAGATTGTTTATATTTAAACAATACATTTTGTGTTACTATGAAATCTGAGGATGGACTTATGTTTATAATGACTACAGTGCTAGTCAGTATGCATTCATATAAGCACTCATCTTGATAATTATATTAAAATTAAGGATATATTTTTACTACAATTTTCTATGTATTGTAACATGTATGTGAATTAATTTGCACACCTGGTCAATATTGTAGTATAATATGGAGTTATGGATGCCATGCGAGGAGTTGGTTTGTGGAGGATATATGTTTCACCCACAAGACTTTGTCCTTAACATTGAGAGGAACACAGTGGGCAACATGTGGAGAGATTAGTGGTGTGCATGAAGTAATGGATGACAGGAATATAGTTACCTATTTAAACTTGTGCAGTAAGGGAGGAAGAAAGAGCTTTATCTCTTGATCTTGCCTCTTAACTTTAGATTGACATGTGCAGTTGTAGGGTATCGTTAATTTAGGTTCTTTTTCTTTAAACTGTTACTTGAACCTTTTTTTCTTCACCCCATCCCAGATGGCACTATCTTTGGTCTCTGTCCCCTTTTCTTTAATAATATAAAGTGCAGTAACTATTTGACTTTCTGTATGCTTGAAATCTGTTGAAATCTTCCTGTAGAATTCTTATAAAACATTTTTGGGTTATATTCTCATTTTTTATTATCTGGTAACAAGGATATGTAGGAGATAATTCCTACAATCGAGTCATTAATATACACCAGTAACTCATAATAGGTCTACAGTGTACTTCCATTCCTATGCTTCAACCCTTAGTGACTGTTTTCATTGTTTAAGCAATTACTTTTTTTTTTTTTTTTTTTCAACAGGTCGGCCGTCTCCCACCGAGGCAGGGTGACCCAAAATAGAAAGAAAATCCCCAAAAAGAAAATACTTTCATCATCATTCAACACTTTCACCTCACTCACGCATAATCACTGTTTTTGCAGAGGTGCTCAGAACATAACAGTTTAGAAGCATATACGTATAAAGATACATAACATATCCCTCCAAACTGCTAATATCCCAAAACCCCTGCTTTAGAGTGCAGGCATTGTACTTCCCATTTCCAGGACTCAAGTCCGGCTATATAAAAATAACCGGTTTCCCTGAATCCCTTCACTAAATATTACCCTGCTTACACTACAACAGATTGTCAGGTCCCAAATACCATTCGTCTCCATTCACTCTTATCGAACACGCTCATACACGCCTGCTGGAAGTCCAAGCCCCTCGCCCACAAAACCTCCCTTACCCCTTCCTTCCAACCTTTTCAAGGACGACCCCAACCCCGCCTTCCTTCTCCTACAGATTTAAATGCTCTCCATGTCATTCTACTTTGATCCATTCTCTCTAAATGACCAAACCACCTCAACAACCCCTCTGACTAATACTTTTATTAACTCCACACCTCCTAGTTTCCACACTCCAAATTTTCTGCATAATATTTACACCGCACATTGCCCTTAGACAGGACATCTCCACTGCCTCCAACCGCCTCCTCGCTGCTGCATTCATAACCCAAGCTTCACACCCATATAAGAGTGTTGGTACTACTATACTTTCATACATTCCCTTCTTTGCCTCCATAGAAAACGTTTTTTGACTTCACGTATACCTCAACACACCACTCACCTTTTTTCCCTCATCAATTCTATGATAAACCTCATCCTTCATAAATCCATCCGCCGACACGTCAACTCCCAAGTATCTGAAAACATTCACTTCTTCCATACTCCTCCTCCCCAATTTGATATCCCATTTTTCATTATCTAAATCATTTGATACCCTCATCACCTTACTCTTTTCTATGTTCACTTTCAACTTTCTACCTTTACACACACTCCCAAACTCATCCACTAACCTTTGCAATTTTTCTTTTGAATCTTATTTGTAATTTTAACTAATTACTACATTGTGTGAAAACTTGAAATGACAGGTACCCTAAGTAGTGATAATGGTTCACCATACGTTAGTAGAAATAATTCACTTAAAATCTTGTATTTATTATTTACTCTAAATGAAAATTATGTAAAAAATATTTAGTTCTGACATGCGAAGTAATTATTTGTTAATTTTTAATTTCTTATATTGTATCATTAGTTTGTATGAAGGATACTGAGGTAAAATATCATTTTGCAGCTTTCCAGTTGCAAGTGATAATTTTGTCAAGCATATATAATGTAGTAACACATCTGTCTTTTATTGCCACATGAGTATTCTTTACAAACATTATCTTGGAGTAAACGTATTGAATCCCTTTCTCGTGTCTTGTTTGCCAATGCAAAACACATTTTGAACCTTAAGCTTCAATGGTTAATCCCTAAGTTTGTAATCTGGAATTCCCAAAGGTATACAAATTGCATTAAAAAAAATTTTTGTTTTCAGGCGCTCTAATCATTTAATATGACTTTCTTGGGGGGCCCAAAAAACAGAAGATTTGATCATGGAAAGTCATGAGCATATTTGAACAAAAAAATACAAAAAACATTTTAATTTGAGATTCATCCATATACCTTGCTTCACATGTTCTACCTCTTTAGCAAGAAAAACGTGAAATTCTAAAAAATCTCATAGAAAACCCAAAGGCCAATTTTCCGGGTGACCACTTTGATCAATCTGGCCGTTGTTGAAGAATTTACTACCCTGATCCTGGCATTTTAGTCACCTAGCTTCTGACAACTGCTGCTTATGGAGGAAGGGTTCTTCTCCATTTGAAATTATTTATGCAAATAATTATAAATCCCCAAAACGGGGTCAGGAAAATTTAGACTACTAATCACAAAAACAGCACTGGTGAGTGAAAAATCGGGGATTTTGTATTCACAATAGCACCATTTGTGCTCAATACGGGTAAACAACTACGAAAATTAAAAATATAAAAACACACTTAAAAACGTATGACTCACTGGGAAATTTTGCCAAATTCATATGGGGAATCCCAAAAAATTGGGAGGGATGTTCCTGAAAATGTGTGTTATTAAGTAAATTTAGAGTTATGTGACGAAACCCCATGGGAAAAAAGGGCTTATTCCAGACACCAAATTTTCAAGCAATTTTTTTCATTCAGTATAAAAAGTAAATTACAGGCGGGCCTCCCCAATCCGGGAATCAGTTATCGGTTTTCCCTCAGTAATCCGGGACAATTTTGGCTAGCAAAATTTCAAATTTCCCTATTAACTGACTCGAATTGGCAGATGGGTTTTAAATCCCGCAGCAAGCCAGTGGAGGAAAGCATGAGAAAAAGAGGGAAAATGTAGCAAAAGTCCTATTGAAGGTTTAAATTAAGTGTACGTATTCTAACCTAACCACTCTAAATACCAGCACACTACAGTCCAATGATGCTGGATTAGTGATGGCAACCTGTACTACCTTTCATTCTGGTAAGTAGTTGATGTCTTACAATGTGGAAGTGGGTGGAGCGAAGTGGACTGGTGTGAGCTTACTGGGCTGAATTGGATGGCTGTAATTCTTGAGTTAAGTACATGCAGAGTTGTTGGTAATTAATGATTGTATTAAGGTGCTTGACTAACCGGTTAGCCAGACTCGAGTCCTGGAAATAGGAAGTACAATGCCTGCACTTTAAAGGAGGGGGTTTAGGATATTGGCAGTTTGGAGGGATGTCTAAACTGTCATATCTGAGCGCCTCTGCAAAGACAGCGATTATGTATGAGTGATGGTGAAAATGTTGAATGATGATGAAAGTTTTTTCTTTCTTTTTGGGTCGCCCTGCCTTGGTGGGAAACAGCTGATGTGTTAAAAAAAAAAAGAATTAAAGTGCTCAAGTATCGAGTCTGATCTATTTTACCAACATGTTGACATCTGTAGTAAACCAAGTGTCTGGATTACTCACCACCTCAGAAAAAGTTAATAACAGTATACAGAAGTGCAACCGAATCTTAAAAAAATACACAAATAGGTTGAAACATTTATTTTAAATAAATGTACAGTAATTTTAATTTCCTATAAAATCATGTAAAAAAATGAAGCAATTAATAAAAAATTCACTCGCAGGTTGATATCTGATTTGATACCTTCGCACTTCTGGAAAAATCGCTAGAAAATGAGACATTATAAATGTTTATTTTTTGAGGGGTCACCTTAGTATAAATTAGACAAGTGTTCAGGTTTTGGAAACTTTTAGGATATATTTGTTCAGCAAATTTAGTACTTATGTCTAATTTATACATATCTTGATGTAAAGAAACTACTTATCCTTAAGTGAATTTTAGGATAAGAGAAGAAAGACTAATATCACGATGGGTTGGTATGGTAGTCCAGTAATACAATAGCTGTGAAAAAAAAGAAGAGTCTATCTGAGGTAAAGACCTACTGTACATTTTACTATATACACATAGTATATCACAACACACAGTTTACCTCTAATCTATGAATGGTTCTTCTTCTTTCAACAAACCAGCTGTATACCACTGAAGCAGGTTGGCCCAAAAAGAAAAACTAAAGTTTCTCTTTTTAAATTTAGTAATGTATACAGGAGAAGGAGGTTACTAGCCCCTTGCTCCCAGCAGTTTAGTCGCCTCTTACGACACGCATAGCTTACGAAGAATTCTGTTCCACTTCCCTGTGGAGAACTGAATACAGTGGACCCCCGCTTTACGATCAGCTCCCAATGTGACCAATTATGTAAGTGTATTTATGTAAGTGCGTTTGTACGTGTATGTTTGGGGGTCTGAAATGGACTAATCTAATTCACAATATTCCTTATGGGAACAAATTCGTTCAGTAATGGCACCTGAACACACTTCTGGAATGAAATAATATCGTAAGGCGGGGGTCCACTGTATTACGTTATTCAAAGCGGGAAGTCTTGAGCTGAGAGACATGCTTAACACTGGAAGATAACTCAACTATGCCAGTCACTAATTCTTTTATGATAGGGGAACTCAAATAAATATTTTTAATCACAAGATCAATAAGTTAAGATTAGTAGGAAAATACGTAAAAGATGAATCCTGTATACCTGGAGAGAATTTTGGGGATCAACATCTCCGCGGTCCAGTCTGTGACCAGGCCTCATGGTGGATCAAAGTCTGTTCAATTGGGCTGTTACTGCTAGCCGCACGCAAACCAACGTAAGTGTGGATATTTTCATAAAAAAAATAATAAAATGAGAATGAAGAGTAAAGAAACAAATCACTGAAGACCTTGGCACAATGACTACTATTTTTTCCTGTCCAAGTTAACCAATAAATTTTTCATTTTAATTTTTAATTTATTCTGTCACATGATTTAAGTTACAGCACATATATACTGTACAGCACATTATTAATTGTTGACAATGAAATTAAATTGTTACAGTACCACACTTCTCAAAATGTTTTTCCCCATCAGGAAATTATTTGCCTGAAAGCCTAATGGTTTTTCAGACTTGAGCTGCTGGAGTGCGAGCAGGGTAATATATTGTGAAGGGATTCAGGGAAACCGGTTAGCTGGACTTGAGTCCTGGAGGTGGGAATTACAATGCCTGCACTTTAAAGGAGGGGTTTAGGATATTGCCTGTTTGGAGTGACATCTAAACTGTTATATCTGAGCACCTCTGCAAAGACGATGCTTATATGTGAATGATGGTGAAAGTGTTGAATGACGATGAAAGTTTTTTCTTTCTTTTTGAGTTTTTCTTTCTTTTGGGGTTTTTCTTTCTTTTTGGGTCACCCTGCCTCGGTGGGAAATGGCCAACGTGTTTAAAAAAAAAAAAAAACAGTGCACATGCCACTCATTGTATGTAGTTCTCTTCCAAAATATACTTGTGTAAAATATTTCAACATCAGTTTGGGTATTATTATAATCAAAACTGAGTGTTAAACCACCAGGGTCATACAGTGCTGATCAGCTTGGGTAGACAATCACATATGGACTATGTAGCCAAAGCATAATTACATATTGTATGCTATACTGATTGGATGTCTCTTATTACCAGTTTAGGGATAAAAACTTTATTACACACAATGATGAATTTTTCCACTAGCTCAAGTTTGTAACTTACACTTTATTTATTATTGTAGAAATTGCTGTAGTTTACAGTGGAATGATAAGCTAACTGAACTATATAATAGTTATAAACCTACTGTATTGTATATCACTATCATTTTTTCATATATGGTATGAAAAAAGAAAAGGTGTACATAAATAATTTAAAATATGTACTTACCTGCTGTACACTAGCTTACAAACCATATTTAACCCTTTCAGGGTTTCGGCCATACTAGTATGGCTTATGCCCCAGGGTTTTTGACGTACTAGTACGCCTAAATTCTAGCGCCCTCAAATCTAGTGAGAGAAAGCTGGTAGGCCTACATATGAAAGAATGGGTCTATGTGGTCAGTGTGCACAGTATAAAAAAAATCCTGCGGCACACAGTGCATAATGAGAGAAAAAAACTGACTGTGTTTTTGGATTAAAACAGCGACTTTGCACTGCATTTTCGTATGGTATATATGGTTGTATTCTGGTTTTCCTGGTTTCATTTTATAAAATGGAAGACATATTACAGAAATTGAGATGGTTTTGACTGGTTTTACAATGAAAAGTACCTTGAAATTGAGCTCAAAGTAGCAGAAATGTTCGATTTTTCATGCCAAGCACCCAATACATGTCAAGTGGTGAGTCTAATATTCTTTCACAAGTGCGCTGACATTATTATTACCATTTCTACACTAATGCAGTAGTCTGCATAACAGTGAATCTTCTATTTTTTGTAAGAATAAAAATTCAAAGTGGAAAGCCAAAGAAATATAAGAGGGGCCTGGGGATGTGACTAACAAACAGAGAACTTGTTATTTTAGTGCCAGGAATGTCTTTCTTGTTTATTCTGGACCCTATTCGGAAATTGGCATCGTTTGAAGTTTGTGTGAAATTGGCAAAATTGCTAAATTCTGACGACTTTATTGGACAGTTAGAATCGGTAGATGGGTGGTTTCTTGTACTCATTCGATAGAAAAAATGGAGTTCTAGCGAAATAGTTATGATTTTTGTCGACTAGTACACTGGAATTGGCCGAAAATAGAGCTCAAAGTGGGCAAAATCGCCGATGCGTAAACATCGTCGAGACTGCTAACTTCATGAGAGCATAATTCCGTAAGTTTTCCATCAAATTTCATACTTTTGGTGTCATTATGATCGGGAAAAGATTCTCTATCTTTTCGTAAGAAAAAATAATTTTTTTTTTTTTTTGAAATTTGGGTGACCCTAGGAACAAGTCTCGGAGAGGGCTTGGGGACCCTGAAAGGGTTAAAAGAAATTAGTTTTCATGTGTAATATTTAAGTACTTCTTCTTCCAGTTTCTCCATGTTGTTTTCATTTACATCAACAAACATTTTCTGTTGACGGCTAAAATAATAAATATCCCCAGTATAAATATCAAACCATAGGGCATGGATGTACACGCGACCCCGAGTCAAACCGTCTCGCATAAAGTTGTAACTGGCGATGTTTTGCAGCTGCTGAAGTGTGTTCACCTGAGAAAGTTTGTCTTCCTCAGAGAACTTGTTGTCAGGGTCTATATATGCAATGAAGCGTCGCATTGGGGTCTCAGCCTGATGTGAATAAGATGGATGACATTAACAAAATGAACAAGATAATGATGCCTGTGTTGATGGATGACATATGTGATACATAAGATGAATAATGCATAAAATGAAATCAAGATGGAAGACATGACATTTATCCATTAATAATTATTGATTATTTTATATTTTTTATAGATTAAACCTTACACAATGGTGTTTTTATAGTTAGAACTAATGTACATCTGCAGCCGCTTTCTCCTACTTGTACTACACTTTATATTACAAATTTTCTTCAAGATATCTAAGCATCATCTAAATTTCTTTTTAAACTTGTTAACTCAGTGTATGCCAAGTTCAAAAAGTTCATTGTTGATATTTTTTTTTTAACTGGCAACTGACATGAAATATATTTTTTGCTACATCCCCGTACTGAAAAACTAAATGTTGAGTGATTCCGAATTCCCTCGATAAGCAATTACTGTATGCATTTCATGTGAAATTCATAATGCTGACATTAATCCCACAGCAGAAATCAATGGTGAGAAACTGATCATTTACAAAGTCTCAACCAGTTTAGCAATTCATGTAAAATATGATAAAGTAGGTCATAACTCTGAGTCTCTCTTACCTGAAATACAAGAGGAGCCTGGAAATTTGACAGCTCTAACTGAGCAAACTTCCCTGCTGAAGAATGTCCATGGCGCATGAGCCAGGCCTTCAAAGGGGAGAGCTTCAGCATTTCTTGTAAGGTGCGGTCACTGTTGCGCATCATATGCAGCATATTCATTGCCTGTAAGAAAATAATATATAGTACTTGTACTAGTAAAAGATAAATTATAGAGTAAGCGAACTTAGTGTCTATTACTTGTATTTTACTCAATATCTTCGGTAATTTACCCATTTCCACACAAAAAATATTAAGAACCAGATATATAAAAGTGTCTAAATTCTTTCTAATGCCAAAGAAAGTTCTGTGTATATATTGTCTTGCTAGTATTGTGGATAAAGTTGAAATACACACAAATCAGCTTACATCTCAAGTGTTGTTTGCTAATGCACATACTACTTGTTGCTTTCCCGAGTTTCTCTATGACTAGCCTGGCCTGTTTTAAATTTTCCTTGATAACTGATCAGCCAGGCTTTTGCTCCCTACATCCCCATGAAAGGTCACAATGACCCACATTCACTCACTACTTTTTTTTTTTTTTAACAAGTCGGCCATCTCCCACTGAAGCAGGGTGACCCAAAAAGAAAGAAAATCCCCAAAAAGAAAATACTTTCATCATCATTCAACACTTTCACCTCACTCACACATAATCACTGTTTTTGCAGAGATGCTCAAAACACAACAGCTTAGAAGTATATACATATAAAGAGACACAACATATCCCTCGAAACTGCTAATATCCCGAAACCCCTCCTTTAGAGTGCAGGCATTGTACTTCCCATTTCCAGGACTCAAGGCCTGCTATATAAAAATAACCGGTTTCCCTGAATCCCTTCACTAAATATTACCCTGCTCACACTCCAACAGATTGTCAGGTCCCAAATACCATTCGTCTCCATTCACTCCTATCGAATACGCTCATGCACGCCTGTTGGAAGTCCAAGCCCCTCGCCCACAAAACCTCCCTTACCCCTTCCTTCCAACCTTTTCGAGGACGACCCCTACCCCGCCTTCCTTCCCCTACAGATTAAATGCTCTCCATGTCATTCTGCTTTGTCATTCTACTTATCAGTACAAATACCTATACCAGTATCTGCTTACCTTTCACTAAATTACTCAATCCCTAATGCAGCATCTTTTACAGGTTTTCCAAGTCTTCAGTCTACCAATTCTTAACTCATTGGTTATTCAACAGAAAATACATTTCAGCTCTTTCCATCTATACTACCAGTGACACTAGACTACAAACATGGATTACACCTCTGTGATGTATTGATACATCCATTACTATTCTCATTTCTCTTTAATACCATACTTTTACATGTACAGTGTAAGCTGTAGCCAATTACCATACTCTGATGAAAAAAAATGGCCTGGGGCAGTCTCTACACCCTGGCATACACAGCTCAATGGATGTAATTATGACAGTACAACTTGGTATAGTACAACTTGGTTAATACAACTCTATGAGTACATGGCTGTAGATATGTAGAAAGATGATAGTTCTGTTCATTTGAAATTCCTGGTAATGATGTAGTATACTGTATTGTATGTAACATATAACCCCTAACAACACGCTAGCTCTATTAAAAATTGTGAATTACTATTAAGGGAATTTGTACCTTGCAGTCAGAGTGGCCACAGACAATGACGTGCTTGATACCATTGATGACACAGCCCAGCTCCAGGGCAGCTGGTTCTGTTGTGATCTCCTCATGCCCACAAAGATTGGCATGAGGCACCAAGTTCCCAGCATTGCGCACTGTGTATAGCTCAAACTGATACTTAAGGCTTACAGGGTTTATATAAAAAAATTAAAATGTTATTTTCATACTCATAAATACTAATTTTTTTCAAATACAGTACAATATTAAAGGATATGAAGTTTTCATCTTGCATTTTAGCTGCTTCATTACTGCAGAGATATATGATGCAAAGTGCCAAGTATGGTAATATGAAGGTAGCAACTAGCAAAGATCATCAAAACCTTCGGGTAAGTGAATTCAATGGAGTATGATAAGCCAAGAGCAGCTACAGTACACGAAAAGGGTATAATACAGGAATATTAAAAAATGGGGAACGCTCAATTTGTGCATGGTAAGAAAAGCATTGCTGCATGGTTAACACCTCAACAAAACTATTCAACTCAGTAGTGCTGAGGTTCGTTGTTTTTTCAGGAGCAGCACCAAGGAAGGGATAAGGGGTGGCTTATGCTTCCTCAGATTTCCATCACCCCTCCCCCCCAAATAATAATAATAATGTTTCTTCATGACAGGTCTCTTAGCCATTAGCCATCCCTCTTCCAACCAGGCTGTCACCCCTAAGTCCTTCCTATAAAAAAAAGTTATGGCATTTTTTGTGAATATTTATATTTACCTCAAAGGCTGTCTCACCAAGGCAGGGTGGCCCAATCAATATATGCACTAATACAGGAATCTTAACTAATTTTTTACCAGTATGAAACAACTTTTGCAAAGACAAACATTTCAATTAAGCTTTATACTGATATACAGAAAATTACCAAAAAACTTTCAGCTAAAAAATATTTACAATATAGTGCAGGTAGTGCTAACACAATGTAGGTGTTACCGTTTACTAATCATTATATACAGCTTTGTACAAAGCAGATCAAAGTTAATTTCTTACCCTTATTATCAACAAGAGAGTTTTTAAAAAGTCTTTGCATTGGACATGGAAAAAACTTACTGGTGGCAACTTACCAATAAACATGTCGCCAACATTTGTCTGAGTGAATCTTGTGGGAAGCATCCGACTATCCATGCAGGTGAAGAACACCGCTTTGGGCTGCAATCATCATACAGTCAATGCCTGAGGTATTAATGGATTTGTACTGTAATACCAAACCCTAATTACTAACCGGAACTAATACAGTAAATAAAATGAAAGTGTGATTACATCCTGTATTTGTGGTTGAGGGTATAGAGCAATGCATATTGTAGATTCAGGTTTATTGGCAAGTAAACTGCAATATTTCTCAAACCCAACGTTTCTCGCAAATATACATACTATACATAATCTACTGTTTTGAGTTCTTTCTCGGATATCCTCAGCACCCTATTTACCCTCCTTTAACCCAGACTCTTGTTGATGTTTCGACAGCAGCTGATTTACTGCACAAACTTTGATGATGATGCCTCTAGCACTCCTCACAGCCCTTTCTACCTCTCCCTCTTGCTACCCTCTACCCCTGCACTATCCCCTGCCCTGCTGCACTACATGACCTAATAATAATCCCTCTCCCTCTTGCTACCCAATACCCCTGCACCCTTCCCTGCCCTGCTGTGCTTAAGACCCTTGATGGTTTAGTGCTTCTTTTTTATTGTAATAATAATATATAATAATAATCAGCACCCTATTTATTTCTCAAGACACTTCAAGAATGTAGCTTTAGGCAGCATGCATGGTCAGCAAGACGGGGTTAGTTGTGTACCAAATACTGTAGTACCAGTATTTTAACTTAGCTGATTCTTTAACACTTTACGGTGCATAATATCAAGATTTTCTATCAACAAAATCACACTACCATATGCATAGTCACATTTGAAGAGAGTTTTCTGTACATTTTCAAAATGTCACAAATGCATTAACACTCCATATCATAACTGTTTATTAGCTAGGATTTTTTTCATTTAAGTTTAAATTTGTCTACCTGGAATTTACCTGGAGAGAGTTCCGGGGGTCAACGCCCCCGCGGCCCGGTCTGTGACCAGGCCTCCTGGTGGATCAGAGCCTGATCAACCAGGCTGTTGCTGCTGGCTGCACGCAAACCAACGTACGAGCCACAGCCCGGCTGGTCAGGAACCGACTTTAGGTGCTTGTCCAGTGCCAGCTTGAAGACTGCCAGGGGTCTGTTGGTAATCCCCCTTATGTATGCTGGGAGGCAGTTGAACAGTCTCGGGCCCCTGACACTTATTGTATGGTCTCTTAACGTGCTAGTGACACCCCTGCTTTTCATTGGGGGGACGGTGCATCGTCTGCCAAGTCTTTTGCTTTCGTAGTGAGTGATTTTCGTGTGCAAGTTCGGTACTAGTCCCTCTAGGATTTTCCAGGTGTATATAATCATGTATCTCTCCCGCCTGCATTCCAGGGAATACAGGTTTAGGAACCTCAAGCGCTCCCAGTAATTGAGGTGTTTTATCTCCGTTATGCGCGCCGTGAAGGTTCTCTGTACATTTTCTAGGTCAGCAATTTCACCTGCCTTGAAAGGTGCTGTTAGTGTGCAGCAATATTCCAGCCTAGATAGAACAAGTGACCTGAAGAGTGTCATCATGGGCTTGGCCTCCCTAGTTTTGAAGGTTCTCATTATCCTACTAGGACAATATACAAAATATATTTCATGGATAGTGGGTTTTCATTTCTTAGGGAGTGCATGCTGGACTGCAAGGTACAGTATTTACTTGTACAGTACCTGCAACAACCTGGTAATATCCAGAGTAGAAATTCAAGTACCTTAGTCTTGACCTTAAGGGTACATAATTTTATACAGAACTAATACCAACTTAAAAAAAAATACACAATAAAATATACTTAACCAATACAGTACTTACATGTGGATCATCTCGCACAACCTCAAACTGCCTCACCATGACCTCCCTCTGTGTGTGTCTGTACTTCATCACACCTTGCAAGATGCGATACATTCCCATGATGGCACACAAGAAGATGGTAGGATGGTGTCAGGATGAAATTAGTGGTAAGAAGAGAGCTACAGCAGATGATGTTTAGAACAGTGTTAAGGCAGATGATGTCTGGAATAGTTTAGTACAGATGTCTGGAATAGTCTAGTACAGGTGTCTGGAATAGTGATAATAACAGAAATGGAGGTAGAGTTAAGTCAAGTACCTGGAACTGGGATGGAGTTAATAATAAGGCTGGTGGCAGGCAATAAAAATTATTTTAAATTTGATTTAACCTTGGATAACCCAGCAAAGTTGACTTGTTTCCTTTGATATCAAGGAAAAAGGATGGCAGTATCCAAGATTCCATAACAAACAGTACTGAAAATAAGAGAAGTAACGTTATGACCACGATGATGGCTGGCAGGAGAGAGAAAAAAGTTAGGGATGGTGTCAGAAATGAGGCTGGAAGACGTGTATATAATAAAGCTAGTATAGTATGACACTTGTGGGTTTAGTGCTTGGTTTTGAATGTAACAACAAAGTGGAAATTAGCAGGACAATGTTTGGTGATAGTCATAGTGCCAGTCAGGAGAAAGAATAGTGTTAAAAATTCAGCCGCTTGACAAGAGGAATGGTATGAAAGTGTAAGAATAAATCTAGTAGCAAACAAAGGTCAGTAATAGTGTCAAATAAAGACCAAGACTGGTCAGATTTATTCCACAGAAATGAATCAAAACCAGTATAGGCCATATAGTGACTTGGGGAATGGGAGACAATCAGACTTGACTCAGATTACAAATGTAGCTCTAAAATTAGTAAAGGGTCTGAAATGGCGTCATTCAGGAGCAGGAAATATGCCAAAAACTCTGATGTCTAACAGGTGCAGGAATAATATCAAATAGAAATTTCAAGCAGGAATGGTGTCAGCCAGGAACTGAAAAGGTATTATCAAACACAAGTAGAAAGAATTAAACAAATTTGTTAGCAGGAATGGTGTGATAAAGCTGCAAGAAGTGTGGTGTGAGGTAGGAGTATGAAACACAAGTAACAGAACTATTGTGTCCTAGACACAGTGTTGATACTGAAACAATTATGACCACCATCATACACCTCTTGAAAATTGTTGTACCAGTTGTTACACTATAATACTCTCTAACACTTATGGGTTTACCGCTTAGTTATGATTAAAATGTTAATATAACTTTATTTCTTTTCTGCAGTACACAAAGTGTAGTTTGTATGTAATAAAATATTGTTAAGCACAAAAGATAACCGCTAGCATGAGAGGCATTACGTATGTAAAATAATAATTAACTGGCAATTGTACCTGGAGTATACCTGGAGGGTATACTCCAGGTATACTCCAGGTACCCTCTAGGTATACTCCAGGTACCCTCCAGGTATACTCCAGGTACCCTCCAGGTATACTCCAGGTACCCTCTAGGTATACTCCAGGTACCCTCCAGGTATACTCCAGGTACCCTCCAGGTATACTCCAGGTACCCTCCAGGTATACTCCAGGTACCCTCTAGGTATACTCCAGGTACCCTCTAGGTATACTCCAGGTACCCTCCAGGTATACTCCAGGTACCCTCCAGGTATACTCCAAGTACCCTCCAGGTACCCTCCAGGTATATTCCAAGTACCCTCCAGGTATACTCCAGGTACCCTCTAGGTATACTCCAGGTGCCCTCTAGGTATACTCCAGGTACCCTCTAGGTATACTCCAGGTACCCTCCAGGTATACTCCAAGTACCCTCCAGGTATACTCCAAGTACCCTCCAGGTATACTCCAGGTACCCTCTAGGTATACTCCAGGTACCCTCTAGGTATACTCCAGGTACCCTCCAGGTATACTCCAAGTACCCTCCAGGTATACTCTAGGTACCCTCCAGGTATACTCCAGGTGCTCTCTAGGTATACTCCAGGTACCCTCCAGGTATATTCCAGTTACTCTCCAGGTAAGTAAGTTTATTCAGGTATACACACAGTTAAATAGATTATCATACATAACAGCATATGTGTAGAGAACCTAGGATAACCCAAAAAAGTCAGAGTGACTTATTCAGAGTGGCTTATTTCCCTCTAGGTATACTCCAGGTACCCTCCAGGTATTCTCCAGGTATACTCCAGGTACCCTTTAGGTATACTCCAGGTAATCACATTATTAAATAATAATAATAATTATTATTATTATTATTATTATTATTATTATTATTATTATTATCATCATCATCATCATCAAAACTAAGCGCTAAACCCACCAGAGTTAATGATAAATAAGATAGATGTAAAACATATGGATGACTGAGTTATCAATGTGTCATTATTGTATACTATTAATGTGATTACTGTTAATGCTTAAAATTAATTTATAAAACAAGGACCCCAATGGAAATAAGTTTGTCTTTTTTTTTTTGGGGGGGGGAACCCTAAGTATTTTTGGGGGGAAGGGGGGTTACCCTAGGTATTTTTTTGGGGGGTTACCCTAAGTAATTTACATATATGGTAAACTATGTATGATGATGATGATTGAACTTGTGTGTATCTGCATCTAAATAAACTTATTATTTTATGTATTGTTACAGCTCACAAAGTAAAAATTCTTAGGAATCCACCTTGATAATAGACTCAAATTTCAAACATATATATAACAAATTTCCAAGAAAATTTCCAAGACCGTAGGCATACTATCGAAGATACGGTACTATGTTCCACAGTCAGCCCTCGTGGCCCTATATCACTCTCTTATTTACCCCTATCTCACCTATGGAATTTGTGCATGGGGCTCAACAACAATAAACCATCTCAGACTACTAATTACCCAACAAAAGGCTGCAGTCAGAATGATAACAAATTCCCACTACAGGCAGCACACTCCACCAATATTCAAAACTAAACCTACTCACCATACAAAACATCCATACTTATTACTGCACCTATTACATACATAGAACACTTAACTCTGATATAAACCCTCCCCTCAAATGTCTCCTTACCAACCTCAACAGAACACATGACCATAACACAAGGCACAGATCACTCTTTGATGTTCCTCGTGTCCGTCTCACGCTATGCAAAAACTCAATGCACATAAAAGGCCCTAAAATCTGGAATTCATTACCTGTAAATATAAAAGAAACACTATCTGTTTATAAATTCAAGTCTCTTCTCAAAAATCACTTACTCACCCACAACCAAATAAATACTGAATAATTGTATCTTATAAATTGTATATCTTAAATATTTCTCATAATTGTATCACATAAATGTGTAACCTGAGACCCAGTCAAACTGTTATCTTTTAATTACATTACCTAACAGAATACTCCATTCTACTGAATGAACAGCAATGCATGCAACCATATGACCTGTCTTTGTAATACTCAGACTAATTGTTACTTAAGCTTAATTGTTTTCTGTTTACAATAATGTTTTACCACTGAATACATCATTGCTTAGTAATCTTAAGTTAATTTTAAGCCTGCCCATAATGCTCTGCATACAAGGGGCTTTGGCATGCTGCACTTAACTGTATTCTTTTGTACTTCTCTGTATCATGTTCAGATTAATAAATAAATAATAAATAAATAAAAGAGAGGAGGGCATACAACGACATTTTGGTCGAACTTGGACCATATGGAAAGTCACACTGTGTGACTAAGTAAATGGTCCAAGTCGAACCGAAACATCGTCATAAGCTTCCCTCTCCTATGTGCGGGTTATTTGTGTATTGTTCCAGTCACAGTATTGTGCCTTTTTGTTATTTACTGATATGCATCTTTGCATACCCAATCTTGTGATTTTAATGTTTCTTTAAAGCTCAGTGATGTAGTTGGTGTTGCTGCTGCTCAACCCATTTATGTAGTTTCTGACAACACATAGGCTTCAATGATCCAGTGTCAGAACATTGGTCTACTCCATTCCATTTTTTTAAACACACTGGCCATCTCCTGCCAAGATAGTGTGACCCTAAAAAAGTGGAAACACTTTCACCATCATTCATTCACTCACTGTCTTGCCAGAAATGTGTTGGCATAGCAGTTAAGATAGCCCTCTGTGACACCCCCACCCCTCTTTCAGTGTTGGCATAGCAGTTAAGATAGCCCTCTGTGACATCCCCACCCCTCTTTCAGAGTGTAGGCACCGTACTTCCCACCTATATGAAATGAGTTTTTCACTATACAGTCGTACCTCGACTTATAGGTTTAATTCGTTCCGTGACCGAGCTTGTAACTCAATTTGCTTGTATATTAAATCAATTTTCCTCATTGAAATGCCATTACTAATCCATTTCAGCCCCCCAAAAAACACCCCATTTTTTTTGTTACGGGTTTTTAAAGAAAAATGTATTTACAAATAAGAAATGAGTGCCATTTTTGCCAGGTCCCATCAATGTTTTAGAAATGCTGGAGTATGTATATATGAAACTCCTTGAAGCACTTTGTAAGATGAGTCTCACTCCACTGCTGACAGTGCAGCAGTGGAATGACATTTGATGATCATGCACTGCCTTGGCTTTATTTTTCACTGTTACACATAAACATGCCTATCTGTTTCTGTCTGTCTAGCTCTATGTTTATCTCTGTCTCTGCTTATCTGTCTTTCTGTCTCTATATGTACTTGTCTCTCTCAGAGAGAGAGCCGCTCATGAACCAACAGGTATTACACACAATGCAGAGTTGTCATGTCTGATTCCTGAACAAATGAAAATGTGTATTACTTGCCAGTCATGCTTCTTATGCCTTATATCTACAAGCATAGTATAGCACTGTGTCTGGATTTTTTGGGTTATCCTAGGTAATTTACACTATGTATAACTGTATTTGTGTGTACATGTGAGATAGAAACAGAGATAGAGACAAAGATAGACAAAGATGCAGACAGACAGAAGGAGATAGAGACAGCCAAAGCAAATCAGCCAGCCAGCCAGCTGGCCACCCAACCAGCAGGCCTGCCGAACACGTATACACATTCCAGAGTTGTTTCTCTTTACTTACATCATAGATCATTGTGGCAGGATGACACTACTAGTGGTATAAAAATTGAAAGGATGTTACACATTGGTTAATATCGAGATTTTTGATATCTCCTCGGCATCTCTTGTGAGTGACGGAGTATCTGAAGCTCGCTCATAACTCGGATTTTGGCTTGCAACTCAAAGCAAAAAATCGACGGAGCGACGGCTCGTAACTCGGAAAATTCATAAGTTAGGGCACTCTTAAGTGAAAATAAATAATTGTGTAAGGAATACCAGGAGCTGAACTGTGGCCTTATATTTGCAAGTTCACTGCTATACTGACTATGCCACAGTGTTCAAAGGAACTTCTTATGGTTATTTCAGCATTGCTTAAAAATTACGTAAGAAATTGTCTGAAATACTGATTAAGGACTTTCAGTGAGGAAATGAGAATACAGATAATTAGTCTTTCAAATATTTATTCAAAAAGATTTCAGTATTTTTTTGTACTAAGCACACTGTAAATTTTACATACTGTGCTTTATTCATATTTCGTAAATGTATGTGATGAACAAGGGCAGAGAAAATTTAATCTAGTTGTTTATTTATAATTTGGGAATAATTATAGAGTGCTTGCACCATTGTTGGCCTTTTCTTCTTTGCCTCAGTGCAGAGTCCAACCAAAGCAAACAGGTGAGAAGCAATGTTCATGTCCCAAGTACCAGCCTGAGTATCTAGCAACTCTTCCACTTCTGCTTCGCTCTCCTGAACATGTGACAACTGGAAGGGAAAGCAAAAAATTTTATACGTAAAATGTTTTATACTGGCCATTGCTAATTAAATATACGAGAAATAAGACACTTTAGAGTCAACTTGAAGGTACATTAGTATGTACATTGTCACAACTCTTGACCAAGAAAATAATACTGCTATTACAATTTGTTTTTGTGTATGAACTTAGAAAATCAAATCACTTTTTGAGTTATAATGAAAAAATGTGATGCAACAATAAAAATGTTTGAATCAATCTATTCATCTCTTGGAACCTGGAGTATACCTGGAAATGATGAATATTTAATTGGATTCTTTATTATCTAAGAAAAGCTTTTGATTCAATAACCACAACAAACTGCTGCTTAAAGTAGAACATTATGGAATCTGAGGTGGGATATAGAGTGCCTTCACTCTGAAGGACGGGTGGAGATATATTACAGTTTTTGAACTGTAGTATCAGCATGTCTCTGGCAAGACAGTGATGGAGTGAAAGTCTTTCTTCTTTTTCAGGTCACCCTACTTCAGTGAGAAACAGCTAATTTTTTTTTTTAACACAGTGGCCATTTCCCAATGCCACAGCAGCATTCTAGGCCCTCTTATAATTTCTCATGTACATCAGTGACCTACTTAATGTCTCTGAGGAACTTAAATGAGTTCTGTTTGCAGATGACACAACTCTGTCATCTCAAACCCAGAACAGGCAGGTTGTACTAGATATATAAGCAGGTTGTACTAGATATATAAGCAGGTTGTACTAGATATATAAGCAGGTTGTACTAGATATATAAAAAGGTTGTAATAGATATTTGTATTCAATCTACATAAATTGACATCAAATTTGGGAGGTATTATTAACAATATTTTAGAAGCACTTAGCAGATAGGGAACTCACATCTTCTCACAGAAAGTTCCATATTTTTGTGCCTTTGCATGGAGTTTTTACTCTGGCTGAAGGAAACACATGATATATCAAAGAGAAAGCTGCTGCTGGTACTTTAAATGTTCAACTGAACACTTTTAGCCTTATTCCCAAACACTGTATGTCACCTACTTTTTTAACAAATGTGTTCATGTATGTCCTCTACTTTTCTAACAAATGCATTCATTTTGAAAATAAATTTGCTTGTTACATGAAGAGATGAATACAGCATTTACCAAGTCACATCCCTCACGTTCTTCATCATAGGATGGCAAGCCAGTCAGCAATTCCAGCAGAACCTGAAAAAATATACATGTAATAGTAAAACAAAAATCTATATATGTACATATGTACTGTATATACCATAAAAATATACAGCACGTAAGTGTTCACATTACCAACAACAGTTATCAACTAAGCCAGTCTTACAATTCCAAAACTGAATGTGTCCATTTTGACCGATATGTCTCCTCTAAATGCCTCAGGGGCCATGTATGCCGATGTGCCAAACACTGTTGTTGTTTTGATCAGTGTCCTCGTGTGAGTTCCGCTGCCTCCAAGGTGAACAAGGCCAAAGTCACCAACCTGGAGGGAAAAAATGTACAGTATGAGACTTAAGTACCATGAAACATAATACATTAGTGTATCGTAAATACAAGGGAGCTTTTTTTTATTGATTTCTACTAAACAAAATACAGTAATATTACATATAAAACCTAAAAAGCATAATAATACTACAAGAGCAAATAGGAAGGGTAAACTATATAAATTTAAGTGTCACTCTTAACCTATCAATACATTCTATGAAGTACAGTATAGTATATTAAAAGTTATCTACATCATACTGAGTAGTGTGTAAGATGAGATTATGAAGGCCAGCAGAACATAACAAGAACAAAACATGATGTGACAATGCTCACTGACTGAACATTTACAAACCACATAATGTGTGTGTTATTAATTTATGTAACCTTGGGAGTGAAACTGCCATCCAACAAGATATTGGCACTCTTTATATCACGATGAACAAGTGGTCGCTCCTGATAGGTGTGAAGATGGACAATGCCACGTGCTGCTCCCTCGCCTATACGCACACGTATCTGCCAGTCAAGAGGTTCGCTCCCACCCTGTTTGAAAATCACTGCTAGCATGCTGGTAATACATAATATGTAACTCAAAATATCACAAACACATATTCATAAGAAAACTCTCAACTTGTATGCATCAACTAAATTCTATAAATATACAACTTTTAGTTCATTATTTTACTATTAATAAATTTCTTCTTATTTCTAACAAATTATAAAAATAATACTTTTAGTCAAAACAAATTAATTATACTATTAAGAAAAGGCCTTAACCCTTAAACGGTCCAAACGTATATATACGTTTTTTCAACATCTGAAAGTATGTAAAAAAAGTAGATCTTCTTTTTTGTTTTACATTTAAAAACGTGTAAAAAAACTTTTATCTTCATTATTTTTTTTGTTATATTTGAAAATATATAAAAAAAGTAGATCTACTTTTGTAGCACTACGAATTTGAACGTCGATCTGTTTGGACCGTTTAAGGGTTAATCACAAAGGCAAGCTGTGGCTGTGGCACTGAATGATCTTAAGCTGGGGAGAGACAAATTTAAAAAAAAAAAAAAAAGGAGGGGGGGGGGGAGACCATTATCCTGTTCATCTGGACAGTGGCCTAAATAATGAAACTGCATATTGTACACAGTAATATTTTGCACCTAAATTGTGGCAAACCATAAACTTTTTAAATGTAAGCTCAACTGTAGGTTAAAATTCTTGCAAATAAAACATGTAAACTAATGCTTTGTTTAAATTTACCATTCAAGAATGGGCTTGCCTTTTGCAGTGAGCAAACTTACAGAGCAAGCTAGACGGTCTTGAAGACTTCCATTGGGCATGTAGGCATATACAAGACACCAGTCGGGGCCATCGCAAGAGAAGCCCTCAAGTGGCAACAAGTTCTCGTGAATACACCTGGAATATAAAAATTCTTCATTACTACAATCTTCTCATTAATAATTATCACAGAACTTGCATAGCTGAGTAACATGAGACTGATATCTATAATCCATGCCCATACATGTACATAAATAACATGACCATAGGAGAAAGAAACTTTGCAACGATGTTTCGGTCCGACTTGGACCATTAACTAGTCACTAGTTTCTTTCTCCTACGTGCGGGTCATTTGTATATTGTTCCAGTCATCGTATTATGCCTTTGAATTCTTTATCAATGCCCATCTTTATCTACAATGTTAAAGTGATTATGGATAGATCAAAATTCCTTTGTAAATAGCTTTTTATACTACATCTCCAAAGTTACATAACAATTAAATATTCACACTGCTTTGATAAGAGAGTAAATTACAGGCTCACCTGCTCTCACAGTCAGATTTATGTTATATTTCTATAACCTTATAAACTTAATATTTTTCTGTATTACAGTACATGAACTAGGTTGTGTTTGATGCATCTGGGAAGAATCTGCTCTTAACAAGGCTTTAATATTCTTTGCCTTCTCCTAGCGTTTTTTACCTTCCCTCTCATTCTGAATTACTCGGTGCATCCACTACCTTATATCTGCTACTCTAATTGTTATTACTACTGTGCTAAAATATTTATCAAAAGTGCTAAACCCTCTGATGCTTCAAGACCTTAGAGGAACTCCTTCTGAAATAGTGACAATGACCAATTAGGCTCCAGGTTGTCCTGCTTCTTAAGCCTGTTGCCCTTACTCAAATTATCCTCTACTTCTCCATTTCTGTCATAAATGCCTAACAGCTACTCTAGTCCTATACACTTGGAAAACTTACGGTAATGAAGTGGTAGAATATACAGTAATAACAAGACACAAAGTTCAGGTTATGGCATTATATTTTTGAAGTCATTTTGTCCACCAGAGACTGTTAGTTTATGAAATGATAAAAGTCCCTCGGAGATGAAATGTCTTCATAAATAAAATGCCATAACCCATACACTGTGTCTTTACAAACTTGACTGACATAACTCAGTGTTCAGCACTGGTAAAATACCTGTTACCAATCATGCCTATGATTCAGTCATCTATTCAGGTACTATGTATGTTACTTACCTTGACAGGACTTCAATTTCTGTTTTAAATTGACCCTCAACTTTGATCTCTCCAGAGTTGAGTCTTTTCACAGCAACTTTTTTCTCATGACCGCCCTGAAATATTTTGGCCAAGTACACAACACCAAATGCTCCTTCACCCAATTTACACCCTCCTAGGTCTGTAGGCACATCGGAAAAGTTATTAGTAATTTCCTTCAGTAAAGAATAACTGAAATGTGTAAAACCAGAGCTTTGTAAATCCTGTAAGACTTCAGTATCAAGAGGTGGAGATTCTGCTTGAGACTGTCCAGGAGTTAGGTTATTGCAAGTACCTATCACTTTTGTTTTGTCATCAATAACAGGTGCTATAGTGAGAGCCAAGTCATCACTACTTGGTTCATCAATAGTATAAGAGCTTGGGATATCTTGAACTTCTCCAGAGGCACCCATCTCTTGGATAAAATTATCATAAGTCCTCAGTCCTTCTTGTAATGCCTTATCCAAATCTTCAATGGGATCACCATCTTGTCTTGGCAGGGCTTCTCCTGAAAATGAAGAGGGCTTCTATTATAGTTCTGACATCTAACCTTGATTTTCCAAATTTAATAACAGCCAACGTGCAAAAAATCTTGATCAAATTTTAAATGTATATACTTTAGTTTATGATATGTATTTTGCTGACAATACTGGATTCATATACAGTAACTAAAGTACTGAACAAAGGTTGGAAGGTTTCATCTTACTATTATAATTTTTATTATCAACACATTGGATACCTAACTGTTGCATATGTGTCTTACCTAACAACATTGGCTGTTTCCCACCAAGGCAGAGTGGCCCGAAAAAGAAAAACTTTGGTCCATTTATTACTAAGAATGATTACTGTACAAAGTTACTATGCAATATTTCAGTGTTTAATCTACATATAATACCCATAGGCATTACTTAATACAATACTGTATATAGAAACACTATGGAATTTTTTTTATTTACCATGAAGAACATTAATAGTGAGGTAGTCCATGGCACGGTAGAGTTTAGCAAGTCGCAGAAGCTCAAGCAGGTCTTGTACGGTGGGGCGTTGCCTCCCACTTGTACCCCACTCCTCTAATAGCACCTCAAAACCTTCCCGCCGATCTCTTACACATTCCTCTGATATTAGGCTAGTAAAATATACATCTGTTATAGTAATACTGCATATATAAATGCTCTTTTATAGATGTAATCAGAATATTCCAAGAGACTAAATACTGTAAAAAGTGTATATGCTTGTATCATATAAACTCTGCTGGTTGCAAAAAGGTTAAGTCATTATCTAAAGAGGGTACAGGTATTGCATCATTTTTTTTTCAGTGCTGCACATTACAGAAGAAAGTGCATGCAGTAAACTAGAAATTTGTTTTATGATGTCATTCAGTGAGGATTTCTTTCAAACTGCTTCTCTGAGATATTGCTAACAAATTTCTGGTGCATCACAACCTCATCATGAAAAGTACCATTTGCAACACTTCATTTTGCAATTCTTAATACAAATACAAATCTTTATTTCAAAATAACTGCAAAATGTACAACAGGGTGTCCTATAGCTCAATTGCTGGAGCACTCAGCTCAAACTGAGGTCCAGGGGTCGATTTCTGGTATGGGTGGAAACATTATTAAATATTTCCTTAAAGGTACCTGCTGTTCATGTTTACCTAGCAGTAAAATAGGAACCTGGGTGATAGTCGATTGGTGTGGGTTGCATCCTGGGTATAAAACTGACCTAATTTGCCTGAACTGCTCTGCATAACATGGGGCTTTCTATATAGTAGTAGTATGTCACTGATGTCAGATAGGCCTGTATACCTTGCACATGTACTTGTAGAAATAAAGATTATGGTTATTATTATCATTATTATAAGGCCCATGGGATGAATAGCATTTTGAGTAAAACTTAAAATATATTCATACAATAAAACTGGCTTCAGAATTAATTAATTCCAAATTTCAGAATTATAACATCAAGAAGAATTTTAACACCAGCCCCTAAAAAAAAAAGATCCCTCTCCAATAAACATTTATAAGTTAATATCAAACCTACCAATACATTACTACAGAATAAGCTTAATATTGGAAAAACTAATAAATATACAAATGCAGTTTACAGGCACAATGCAGTAATTTTTTAACATTGTACACTCTAGTGTGTGTGAATGCATGCATGCATGTACTGTATTTGTCTGACTTACTGTATATCATCTGAAGAATATTTCTTTGGGTAGTGAAGGTCTTGAGGAATGGGGCTGCCAGGTTGCCAGGGGCTGCTGGGCACACGACCCATCACTTCCCGCCACCCGTGTGTGACTTCCAGAATGTGTGCTAACTGTGACCTAGCCCAGGGTGGGAGGAATCGCAGTTCAGATGTCATGGCAACGCTATCCATACCGCCTGGTAAGGCCTGCATTATCCT